CCTTTTTATCTCTTCATCAAACACTGGGTTAAGCAGAGTTTCATTCATTTCTGTGGAGACCAGATTGGGAATGACATCCAAAATCCCTTTGTCCTGAGGACTTAAACAAATTCAGAAAATTTTCAATCCATTCTCCATTCACTGATTTCAGCTTCACAATCTGATTTCGTTGTCGTCTTTGAATTGTAGTATGATGAAAGAATCTCATATTTTGATCCCCCTCCCTTAACCAATTAATTCTAGAACGCTATAATCAATAGAGTTCTTCTCTTCACCAAATTGTCTCTAGAGTTCTTCTCTTCACCAAATTGTCTCTAGCTGTATTTTGATATCTTTTTCCTTCAAAAGATTTTTTCTAGTATGTTCCCTCTTCTGGACTTCTTCAAGGGCATGCTTCAAGTCTGACAGAATTTTGTTGTTATTGCTNTCTTCACCAAATTGTCTCTAGCTGTATTTTGATATCTTTTTCCTTCAAAAGATTTTGTCTAGTATGTTCCCTCTTCTGGACTTCTTCAAGGGCATGCTTCAAGTCTGACAGAATTTTGTTGTTATTGTTGAATTCTTCTTTTCTCCATTTTTGCAAACTCAACCTGCAATCTTGTGGTTTCGCTTAGACCGATCCCATACTCCTATTACTTGAGCCAATTTCCAACTTTGATTCACTATCTCAGCACATTTCTCCAATTCCAGCCACATTGCTTCAAACTTAAAAACTTAAGGAATTTTTTTATACTTCGTATTAAAGTTTATAGAAATGGGACAATGATCTGAGCCAATTCTCGATTCATGAAGGGTTAGAGCTGCTGGAAACAATTTTTTCTATTGTGGGTTCACTAACACACAATCTATCCTTTCTTGGACATTGGCTTCTCCTTCCCTGTTGTTGGACCAAGTAAAATTCTGCCCCTTGAAATCAAGTTCCATCACGCTACAATTAGATATTAGGCTTTGAAGCTCTTCAATCGACCTCATACTTCCTATTCTGCCATCATGTTTATCCCTGACAGAACCAATAATGTTAAAATCATCCACTATCAACCATGGGTATTCCTTAACAACTGCCAGATTTCTAAGTACTCTCCAAAGCTTTTGCCTCTAATGAAATTCAGAGTCAACGTAAATAAAGGAAGCCTACNGCTTTGAAGCTCTTCAATCGACCTCATACTTCCTATTCTGCCATCATGTTTATCCCAAACATAACCAATAATGTTAAAATCATCCACTATCAACCATGGGTATTCCTTAGCAACTGCCAGATTTCTAAGTACTCTCCAAAGATTTTGTCTCTAATGAAATTCAGAGTCAACGTAAATAAAGGAAGCCTACCACAGGCAAGGGGGATTACTGGTTGTACAAATAGCATTGACAAAGTTCCTGTTACTATTCTCAATTTCCACTTGAACATCATCTTTCCACCATAGATCCATCCCCCCTGCAAGTTCCATAGGCTCCACATAAAAACTGTTTCTAAATTGCAATGATCTACGAATTCTCTCCAATTTTTCCGTCTTATTTTTCATCTCCATAAGGAAGACTATATTTGGACGATGGGTTTGGACTAGCCCTCGCAAAGATAGAACCGTCAGAGGTCGTCCTACTCCCTGACAGTTCCATGAAAGAATCAACAGGGAGCTTGTGGTTGTTCAAGGCTAGCCACCACCGCCTGTTTTTTCGACTCTGAGATCTCTTCCACTGATGGAAAAGTATTTGGAACTTGGGACATCCATTGTGATAGGCATAGATCCATGTAACTTTCATTGCTTCTCTCCCCCTTCTCATCACCCAAATGGTTGAGCATTGGAGTCTCGTACACCATAACCTCAATAAGGGATTCTGCCTCCAATACCGTAGCCTCTCCCCTCTTTCCATTGAAAACCCTATTACGTCCTCTGCCTCGACAAGATTTCCTGGGGAGATTTCTGCCACGACCAACTGCCAGTGGGTAACTGAGAAACCATTGACAGTCTTCCATGCACCCTAAATAACGTTACATGCCCCATTTTTATTTAAATTCACGTCAGAAATAACTTTACCAACCAGGCAGAACTGCATAATCTCATTGACAGCTTGGGAATTTGAGAATAGAGACAGTCGGGGTAATTCTGTCTTCTTAGAATTTACTTCCTGCTCGATCTCCTGTGGCAGTGCTTCCCGTTCCATACTTGATTTATTTGATAGAAAAGACTCAATGGAAGATAGGCTTGAGGACTTAGGATACTGAGCAACTCAGTAATAGGAGGGGTCAAAGATTTATAGATGACAAAAATAAAACGTGAGAATGGTAAAGAAAGACTATTCAAAGGGGAAGTCACACGGTGAATAAAATGGTGGATTTCATCAACTTGATTGAGAGTGGTCGCAGAGTAAAGATAGTAGGTAAGGTTTACGGATGGTCATCGGCTAGGCAAGGCTATGACCAGAACAAAGATGGGTGATATGAAAATGTTCAATTGAAGATTCCTGATGATACCCCAATAACAAACTCTTTCCGAAAACAAGGGTTTGGAGGTCTGAGAGTTTGAGGGAAAAACAGAGTGAAACCTTAAATATTATGGACAGAAATGCAAGAAACCCTAAAAGGTACATTCCAAAATGGAATAGGAGGAACAGACAAATGAAAGTATTCTACGATTTCTCAAGAGTCTTACCTTCAAATAATGAATAGAAGACGAATAGGATCCATTTTTCGCGAATGGGGTTTCGTAAGGACCCAGATGCACTAGGATGGAAAAATCTTGGAAAATCAGAAGTAAAGAAATGAAGACATTGTATTCTACCAAGTAAATAATCTATTCCATGAATTGTGGAAACCATAGGTGGAAGAAGGGTGGGTTCTCTATTTCAATCTACTCTGGAAACGTAAGAAAGAGAGGATAAGTTTAGAAAGAAAACAAATGCTGAAACGTATTCAGGGGAAAACCCTTTAAAAGGGTAGGGATTCTCCATCGGTAGGAGAAAAGTCCTTATATTTAAATATATTTTAACTAGATTAATTATATGCGTTAAAATGTATCGTATTTATTTATATCTCTTTTGATATATACATATATTATGTATATATTAATTTCATATATCAATACAATAATAAAATATGTATTTATACTTTTTTAATTATGTATTATTCTTATTTTCGAATTAAAAGTGTATCACTCCTACTTTTCATCATTCCTATCAAATGAAACATTATACTTTTGATATCTTGACTCAGCACCTATTGTTGGGTCTTATTCTATGTTATGTACCGTTGGGTCATTGGTCGGATCAATAATATAATAAAAAATTAAAAAATAATTATAAATACTAAAAAATAGGCTAAAAATCACAGTAATTATAAAAATAACATCAAAAATATAAAGTTAAGCAGAGAAAAATTATCAAACATGTATCCAATTCCAATGTATTCAATTTTCAATACAACTTGTAAAATTAAGTAGAGAAAAATACTCCTATTTAAGTTCAAGGCTCCAAGTCCAAGCCCAACTCTTATGACAATGCATCAATTCAAGCATAATCTATGTAATTTGTACCCTTCAAAATTCAAACTCAAACTATAATAAGCAAGACACATGAAAAAAAAAAACGAAGCACGTGAGCATAACATAAAGACTCAAATAAATGAAACTCAAAATAAATTATCCGATCATTGTCTAATTCCACTTGAAAATATAAATATTACCACTTTTATCAAATAACTAATCTATAACCTAGTTATATATAATGAACAATAAGAAGCCCAAACAAACCACAAGTTCAATACCGCAATTCATCTACCGCAAATGCAAATTAAACCAAAAATTAGATATTGGCATATTGCAGAGTCAAAGAATTAAAGATAGTACAGTACTCAGTACAGAGTCTAGAGACAAGAGAGATAACAGAATGACTGATTAAAGTCACTAAACGTGCGAGAGAGAGAGTATCAGTATGATGGATGGAGGACGTGAGAGTATCAGTATACTTGCTACTCATTCCTTTTCTTGCTCACAGTCGTAGACTCGCAATGTAGCAATCAGTAGAGACTCAAAGAGAGACTGAGGCAGAGTAACTGTAGTGGTAAGAGAGAGAGAGGGTTAAAAGAGAGAGAAAGACACACGTCTGTGTCTGTCCACCATCGACGAAGAAGCAAAGGCCGAAGCAATTTAGGGCAAAACACAAGATGCCCAAAAAGTGCCAAAATTCTTAGATTTATAGTAATTTAATTTAACTGGCCGGTTTAGTTCAACTCATTAGGTTCGGGTGGTTTAGCTTTTGACTGGTTTAATGGGTTGATCCCGATTTTTATGTACAAACGTCATTTAAGGGAACCATGTTGATTCAGGCATCGGTTCATCAAGACAACCCGCCGAACCGACTAAGTTTTAAAACACTTATCATATTAGCAATACAACAATATAACTTGAATTTCTTATATTTTTGAAACTTAGCGCCCAAACTATGAAGTTTAGAGAAGATAAGCGTACATAATTTTATCTCATATACAAATAATTATTTTGGATTACTAGAATTCGTGAATATTTTTTAGGTGACAATGTCATAAACATTATTTAATTTTTTTTTTTGTTTCAACGGTCAAGAGTGTCTGAACCAGTTTATGCACACCTCGATTAATTCTTTCTTCGATTCGGTCAAAAATAAATTATTATTATGATATTTATTGAGAAATAAATTCTTAATGTCCCGGTCCAAGAAATTACTAACCTTTTTCTAACGTGGTAAACAGCTATTTGACACTATCCTGGAAGAGCCGTGGACGCTTCAGCACCTGAATACAATCTCCGCCTACAAAAAGGACTACAAACGATCAGTAATCACCTAAAATACCATTGAGTCTTCTGTTTGGACACAAGTAGGAACCTAACCCCGACTCGTACAAAAACAAACCAGTCCACCCTTGGACTTCTCGCTTATCCACATACAACTCAAAACCTACTCTCTCTTCTTCCCCGTTCCCTCCGTCTGTGTGTGTGTATGTGTGTGTGTGTGTGTGAGAGAGAGAGATAGAGCGAGAGAGAGAGAGAGAGAGTCAATGGATCTCCTACAGTCCTACAAAGGCACCGACATGGACGATGACGAACAAGGCCAAGAATCACCGGATCAAAACCCTAATTCCACAGGCTCCGATCACTCTTCACCCGATTCTTCACCGCTGCGGATCTCTCTCCCCTCCAAATCCGCCGCGCCCAAAGTCGACGACACCATGCTCGCTCTCACCGTCGCCACCGACCCGAAGCGAAACCAATCCAAACCCATTAACCCGACCCAACATGTTGTCAACTTCAACCCCACCTACGACCAGCTCTGGGCACCCATTTACGGCCCTGCACATCCCTATGCCAAGGATGGTCTCGCACAAGGCATGCGAAATCACAAGCTAGGGTTCGTCGAGGACGCCTCAATCGGATCTTTTGTTTTCGACGAACAGTACAACACTTTCCACAAGTATGGCTACGCCGCCGACCCATCGCAGAATCAGTATATCGGAAATTTGGACGCGTTTCAGCAAAACGATGGTATTTCGGTGTATAACATACCACAACACGAACAGAAGAAGAGGAAGCTTGAGAAGAAAAAGGAAAAATTGGATAGTGAAGAGAATGGGGAAGATGGGGAAGACGGTGGTAATGTGGACCCCACCGAGGTTGACAATCCAGCGTCGGAGGCGTGGTTGTTGAAGAATCGGAAGAGTCCGTGGGCTGGAAAGAAAGAAGGGTTACAAACGGAGTTGACAGAGGAGCAGAAGAAGTATGCGGAGGAATATGCGAAGAAAAAGGGTGAAGAGAGAGGTGGGGATCGAGACAAAGGCGAAATTGTACAAGATAAGAGTACATTTCATGGTAAGGAGGAGAGAGATTATCAGGGTAGGTCGTGGATTGCGCCACCAAAGGACGCGAAGGCGACGAATGATCATTGTTATATACCCAAAAGATTGGTTCATACGTGGTCCGGGCACACTAAGGGTGTGTCTGCAATTAGGTTTTTCCCCAAGTCTGGTCATTTGATTTTATCGGCAGGGATGGATACAAAGGTGAAGATTTGGGATGTGTTCAATTCGGGGAAGTGTATGAGGACTTACATGGGGCATTCCAAGGCTGTAAGAGATATTTGGTTTTGTAATGATGGGACCAAGTTTCTGACTGCGGGGTATGATAAGAATATCAAGTACTGGGATACAGAGACCGGGCAGGTGATATCGACATTTTCAACGGGGAAGGTACCATATGTTGTTAGGCTCAACCCGGATGAGGATAAACAGAATGTACTTTTAGCTGGTATGAGTGATAAGAAAATTGTTCAGTGGGATATGAATTCCGGGCAGATCACTCAGGAGTATGATCAGCATTTGGGGGCTGTGAATACTATCACATTTGTGGACAATAATAGGAGATTTGTTACTTCTAGCGATGATAAATCTTTGCGAGTTTGGGAATTTGGAATTCCAGTGGTTATAAAGTATATAAGTGAACCTCACATGCATTCTATGCCAGCAATTTCACTTCACCCGAATAAGAATTGGCTTGCAGCGCAGAGTCTAGACAATCAGGTTCTTATTTATAGTACTAGGGAGAGATTTCAGCTTAATAAGAAGAAGAGGTTTGCAGGGCACATAGTAGCAGGGTACGCTTGTCAGGTTAATTTCTCACCAGATGGACGGTTTGTTATGTCGGGAGATGGTGAGGGTAAAATGTGGTTTTGGGACTGGAAGAGTTGCAAAGTGTTTAGAACACTCAAGTGTCATGAGGGAGTTTGTATCGGTTGTGAGTGGCATCCGTTGGAACAAAGTAAAGTGGCTACATGTGGATGGGATGGCTTGATCAAATACTGGTATTAACTCTTGACTATACTTGAATGGTTTTTACGTTTTGTGTATATGCATGTCAATGACTTTGTTTCCGTTACATTGTTATGTCATACAATATATGGTACACGTCTCTCGTGTAGCCCCATTCTAAATCCCTTTATATGGCGTGGCTTCTAGTTTTCATGCTCTAAATTACTTTGAATGTCTCTTAACTTCCGTAATTTTTTATGACATTTTGGAATTTGTGGTGGCTCCAGCATACCTTGGTGAGAAGCATGAATATAGCACACCATATAAGATGAGAGAGCAGAATCTTAGGGACTTACTGATGCCATTGTTGTGGCCTGAATTTCAAGAAGGCCTTGTGTGCATGATGTAATGATTTGGAAGGAACTTAATTAATTAAACAATCAAAAGCAAAACCCTTAACACAAACCTATAAAAAGAAGGTGATTAAGTTGGGTTAAGTTTTGAGGGCACTGTCTTTACAGTAAATGTACCTGTAATTAGTCATTACATGAACGTGGTGGCGGCCATAGGTTGGCGTCATCATATCAATGTATTGTTTAGGGAATCAATAGGTGTTCACATGTTGTGACCGTTTAATGTCAAATTGGAGGCAGATTTGTGCAGAGAGACTTTATTTGAATCCTTATAAAATTCTTCATCTAACGAACATAGATCTCATCCTCTGAGCTGGAACTTTCATTTTTGTTGATGTTTCTAGCTTCCATTTTCTTTTTATTGTACTTTTTTGGCACGTGTCTAGTTGGTATTTAAGCTAAAGTGCACACTATCCAATTTCGTATTGAGGAGTTAATAGAAGCATGGTGACTGACGTAGGACTGCTTTATGAAAACTAGGGCTATGACACCTTAAAGTGAATTCTTGCTCGCTTTAGATCGTGGAAAGTTTCTAGGGTCCCAATTTTAACAGGTAGATAGATGGTTTTGGTTTGTTGATATTGAAAGAATTCTGCAGCATTTTGTGGACTGTGTGCTTAAAATGCCTTGGATAGCTACCAAGTTAACGGTTTTGGTATTAATTCAGTGGCCAAACGGTAGGTAATGGGGTTGAGTTGGTTTGGGATTGATATGGTGAAGTTTTGGGCTAAAAAGGTGTAATGCTGTAGGGATTTGACACCAACCCAAGAACAGTATACTAAATTTTCTGTGAGTTTTGTGCTCTTGGGATGCAATATTGATATGAAGGGAAGGATAGCGCATTGTATATAAGGATGTCATTGTTGAGAAGGAGTAATTTTAGAGGCCTGGTCATGGACTCATCTGTAATGAAAGTTTAGTAAAAAAAGAGAAAAGACGAATTTAGGAATCCTTCTTAGAATTCCTTGGAATCATCCCCAATCTAAGGTTGCATAAAACATCAAACAAAGCCCCACAACAATTTCTCAAATCTTGATGCATTCTTCAACATGTATGTGTTTGCCTGGGCGTGTCCATGCACCCATAGATTTATTTGTGCTTGCATTTTTAAAAGCTTATCAACCTTTTTTCATGTCAGTGAAAGCTAACTGAGCTGCAACTCTTCTCAAGACTAATTGATGTAATCTCTGGCTTGCAGGGACTAGCCTTTCTACCTTACAATTGTATGCTCGCATCAGTTGATCAACTCATGTCAGACTCGTTCAACTGGAGAACTAAGGTTGCCAAACTACAAGCTGCATGTTGTTTTGAGATTGGCAGAAGCTAAGGTTGCTTGCTGTTTAGAAACGTCAATCATGGACGAAACAATTCAAGTGTAGTGAACCTGTCCCACTTTCTCGTTTGGCCAATTAACAGTATAGCATATTAAAGAGAGAAAAGGCCATATGAGTCATTACTCATGTAATTTAGTTGTAACACACTGAGCAAAACTCAAATTTTTATTGCTGAAGTGTTTTCCTTTGTCATCTATGTATATTAGGAGTTTTGCTTGTTAAATATGCATATGGCTCTTGGGAGCTTTGGTTGGACATCAGTTTTTCTGTTTGATTTTTTGTGGCATTGGGTATCAAGCCATGCATAGTGTTAGAGCTATTCAAGCTGAGACATGATTCAGAGTCTCAAAAATACAATCTATTGGTGTTGATTTCCTTGCATTTTACCATTAGCAGCTAGTATTTGCGGCTATTTATACCATTCTGATTAGTTTGATTAAGATGAAGTCTTCAACTGTTTCATAAGCTTCTGTGGTAAAGGTCATGTACTTGGTGGTGTTCACGTTATCCTAGAGATCGAAATTATGGTATTTCATCTTTCCACCTAATATTTTGTAAAAAAAAATTTCTTGGCCTACCTTACCGATCAAGTGTATTATTTTTATCCAAATTTTGTCCAAAACAATCTAGTAAAGAATCGAGTGAACTCATATTTTTTAATTATTAATTTTTGAATCATTTTAACAATTTAATTAAGTAATTTGTATCAATTAACTAATACAATAAATCAATAGCACTAAAGAAAATACAATAAATTCAATAATATATAAATAATTACAATACAACACAACAAGAAAGTCATAAATATCAATACATCATATATAAGAAAGCTATGTATATATGTGGATAAAAATACAAAAATTTTATAGGTATTTTGTATTCTTACCTATTTTTTGTAAAATACCAAAAGATTTTCTATTGGCCTACCCAATTTTTCAGGTAGCCAATCAATAAGATTGGGTAAAATAAAATAGAATTGAAATTTAAAAATAATCAAAAATTTAAACATCCTTACATATACTCATCAGTTTTATTTTTGAGATACCATTAAGAATATCAGTTCACAGCGGCGGCGCCCCCACTGCCTCTTTGCTCTGCTTTCTGTCTTCTAAACTTAAAATGGAAAGCATATCACATGTTTATAGAAAGAAAAATAAGAGCAGTATGGCTCTGCCTCCTCACCTGATAATGTTTATTAGTAGATGTGCTGTTAATTAAAACAGCGTTGTTTTGCACTAAAATGACGAGTAAATAAATGATGTGTAAATATTGAATATAATAGTGATATCAAGTTATTATTGATGATATGTTGTCACTACCTAATAATAAAACTCTAAATGAGTAAGGTGAACTTTACTTAAACTTATATAGAAAAACTATTGTTTGTGTCTGAACGCACAGAATAATAAAAAATAATAAACAATAAATATATTTATATTTATATCCAAAATTAAATCACAAACATAGAGAATAGATAAAAGAATTTAAGTATCGATTTGTAATAGGGGGTGAGAGGTGATGGACGACAATAGTGGTGATAGAAAACGGCGATGGTTGATGGGTGACAATGATCGTGGTAGCAATGGTGGCGACGATTGTGGTGGTGGTGACGGCAACGGTGGTGATGGTGGTGGCGGCGGTGGCAGTGGTGGTGGTGGTGGCGATGGAGGTGGTGGTGGGAGTGGTGGTGGTAGAGATAGTGATGGAGGGTGGTAGAGTGATTTTAAACACTATTTTAAAAAAAAATATTTATGAGAAATAATTTTTAAAAGTACTTTTAAAAAGTCATTTCAAACACATCATTAAAAACCTATTTTTCCTATTAAATTTAAGGTGTTAATATTAACCGTTAGATTAATTTTAAAGTAAAATTTAAAACGATCTCAACCGCGAATAACAAAAATTATTTTGTTTATCTTTTGAGGTTTGAATTGTAAACTATAGTATATAGATAGTGATAAATTATTTGCTTACATACATGACAAGTTAATTATTATTTTTATAAGGACCATTTTTTATTTATTTTAATATTATTAATATGTGATTGAAACCATATTACATTACCACCGTTGTAAGGAATATTTTTTCCAAAATAACGCTGTTTGTTGTTGATTTTCTAACGGTGGAAGATGCTCATCCGAGCAGTTTGTTGATCTCTCAAATATTAGGGACCCCTAAAAGAGGTAAAAGAAGTAAACATAAAAAACAAATGCGTTTGCCGGGAGTCGAACCCGGGTCTATTGCTTGGAAGGCAATTATCCTAACCGTTGGACTACAAACGCCGGTGCATGTAACTGGCCAACAATTTCTATTTATAAATAAAATATTAACCCTACTCCCAACACATATGAATGAGCGTCTCTGATATTCAAAATCGCAGCAAACATGGAGATTAGACTCTGCGTGTGGATGAGGCGAGTTGGGATGGCCAGTGCGAATTCTCTGCTCCGCATGACTTTTTTCTCTTCCATTTCCGCCCCAATTCCACCCTTGTCCTACTCTTCTTTAAAACAACCATACCCACCTCTGAATCTCATTTCACATCGTCGCTCGCTCTGTACCCCCACCCATTCCTCTTCATCTCCTATTTTTTCAACCTCCGATAATGGTAAACTCTTGCTCACATATCTGCATATCTGCATAAGTATGTATGTATCTTTAGTCGTTAGGATTGTGCTTGTAGTTTATTGGTTATTGGAATTGTTCTATACAGGGTGTGATGACAAGAGTGGGTACCCAATGAAGGGCTCAAGAGTGCTTTTAAAGGGAATGAGATATGCTGAACTTGAAGTATGTATTTGGGTTTTGTTTTTTTGTTTTTTTTTTCCTTCTGAATCTTCCTTTTTATTGTTTGTTTAAAAGTTGGATTTCATAGCAATGCGGTTGGTGCTGAATCTTACTTATTTTGTGATAGTATTTATACACCAAATTGAGTTATTTTGTTATTCTTTTCGACCACTTGCTTTTTGCGTTGAAGAATTAGGGAGCCATTTGGTTTTCTGGAAATCGAATTCGATTATAAATGCTGGGCATGCTCTTAGTTGAGGGCTTTGAGTGTGCCTTCCATTTTTATGACTTATTCTGAAATACAGATATCCTTTTATTCACGCACTTACCTGGGATAAGCCACATTTTATTTTGGACCAGAATTGCTGGCCTACTTTCCTGAAAGGTGGAGTTTTGTAAATGTATAATACAAATAAAAAGTGAAACAACCATGTTACTAGTTTCTGCTGTGGTGCTTATTTGGGCTGCCTTTCATGATAATATTTTTTCATCTCTAACATTGACATTGCTAAAAACTGCAATCAAGGACACCCATGGCAGTAATTTTCATTTGTGAATAACAATTGAGGGGTGGGGATGGTTATGCTTGTGGTAATTCTCTTTTTTCCACTTGTAATTCACATTGACCTTCTGGTATAGGTTGGTCTTTGGTGGCTCTTATGCTTGATAATTCAACAGTTTTTAAAGCAGTTGAACAATTATTTTCTTAGTTGGGTCATGGCTTTAGTATATACCATGAGCACACGCCTGGGGACAAAATGGACTAGATATGACTGCATGTGTAGACTTCCTAAGTTAGAAAATGAGTTCATTTCTCCTTCCATAGCAACTCGAGACATGTTTCGATAGCTAATTGTTGATTGTCTAGCAACAAAAAAACCGATAAGTTAAGTCTCTAATGGAGCCTATATTCAAATCTAAGATATAGGGATGTCCATTCACATCGTACATTTTTTGTGAAATGAAGAAGTTCTTTAGGGGTTTTCTTTCAATTTTCCATTTTTTAAATGATGACAAAGTGAGCGAATGTGTAAGAGAATTTCCAAATGTGGTCACTCTTTGGTTATTGTCATAAACTATACTTGATTGGTGATACTTTATCTGCCCACGTTACAAGCACCACTAAAAACCATGGGTACAGTACAGGAAACTCTTTTGAAAAGCAAAAGAAAAATGCACATATAAGCTTATGAAAACAAGGGGATGGACAGTCTGTGTCTTGAGGAAGCCATCTCATTGACATCAATGTCCACACAATGTTGCAATATTTGAAATGGAATATGACCTCAGATAGCTAGAGATGCAATTTCAAAGCCTTAGCAATATCACAATTTAACACGAGCAAGATTTCCAACAGTTAAAAGGGCATAATGTACAGTGTAAGTCAATGGTGAGATTTTTGGATGTGGAAAAGTCTGTAATAATTTACTTGACGTTGATTATGTTATTCACTTTTTCCCTGAATTTCCTAGACGGATGGTTGCACAACAATATGTAAGTTAGACAATGATGCAATTCGTTGACTGATTTGTGGCTTCATTCTTATCTTGGTTAATCATTTTGGAATTTTGTTGAAAATTTTTCATGCTGATATCTCTTATTTAGGGCTTCTACTTCTAATTTTGTGAATTGTTTCAACAGAAATGGGTCCAATCACATGGGTATAGGCCTGCTCAGGCATTGATGTTATGGAAGCGCCTCTATGGGAATAATATATGGGCACATTGTTGTGAGGAACTAGAAGGTTGTTTTTATTTGTTTCCAATGTTAAAAAATGTAACTATGTATAAGGAATGTTTCTCGATCATCTTTATAGTCTATTCTACTCCTTTTGATTATGGGTACTTGCTCCCCCATTCAAATTGTTGACAACTGTGAAAAAAAATGATTAATTATTTATAGGTTTGAATAGAGATTTCAAGAAAATGTTGGGTGAACATGCTGAATTCAAGACTGTATATTTAAAAGATATTCTGACAGCATCTGATGGAACTAGGAAGGTAGACATAATCTTTTTGAGTTTTCATGGTAGCTGTTTCTTTAGGTGTTAGTTGTACATGTGGTTTTCAATCTTGTAGATTCTTCTCATTTATTTAGAACTCGCAGGAGGTTACAGATTTTATTCACATTGGAAGATGGACTGGTAATAGAAACAGTTGTGATACCTTGTCCTAGAGGGAGGACTACTGTCTGTGTTTCAAGTCAAGTGGGCTGTGCTATGAATTGCCAGTTCTGCTACACTGGCAGGCAAGCTCTATATCTCATAAGATTCCCCAAGTATTCAGTGATTTAGGTGAGCTCTATCCACTTGATGCATTATTTTTTTTTTGTAGGATGGGTTTGAGGAGAAATCTAACAGCGGCTGAGGTAGTGGAGCAGGCTGTTTTTGCGCGGCGCCTGCTGTCGAGTGAAGTTGGCTCCATTTCGAATGTTGTATTCATGGTAGGTGCATACTAATGGGGTCTTCAATTTGCCACTATATCCTCTGAGAAGGAAAAACTAAATACTGCTCAATTTGATGTTTGGAACTGCTCATTTCCATGAGTTGCATCAATTGATTAGCTTACTGTGCACTCTGCAATTTCATGTGACACTTCCTATTGTTTTGGTGGTTCTACTTCTACCCACTGATACAGTTTTATACTCTAGATGACAGATCCATTTTTGTATTTGAGTACTCCTGCACCTGCCATTTTACCGATAAGCATTTTTATTCTTGTTTCTAATAAGACTTTATATTCAATCAAACCAATGTGCTTGTTGAGCTGCAAGATTTATCCGTGTTCACTTGTTGACGCATAATACAGTTGATTACGTTGAGCCTTAATTGAAGTGTACTTAAAATGAAACAACCCTGAAGGATCTTATTATGGGGATTGTATAGAAATTGGATAGATATTTTAGATTAATCATGAGAATAATTTAGTATTTATCTTGTAAGTATTTTCTTTTAACTTTTAAAGGTTTAGTTATCATTTTGATTATTTATTTATTTTAGGGTTTGTGATCTCCTTATATATATAGGATTTGTGAACTCCTTATATATATAGGCCATGAAGCACGGATACGCTCAAGATATGGCTACAATAAAATATATTTAAAATTTTTATTATTTTGAACCAATTTAATACTTATATATTTTGGTAATTCTTTAATACAATAAGAAAAAATAGTAATTCTTTTTAGTTTCAAGAAAATATATATCGTATCACTATAGTATATTCATAATGTGAAGTGATTAATTAAATGAATCAAAGTTAATATTTATCGAGTCAAGTTTATTTAGAAGTAATTTTTGCTCAGCTTATAACGCAGTAGATTTATTTTATGCTATTTTGACATGTAATTGTAGATAATATTTAAAAAATATTCATGTGTCTTTAAAGTAGTATGAATTTTTGTTAATGTATTTTATGATATGTTAATTTGAAAGGAAATGTTAAAAATTTAACTCAAAAATTATATATGTTGCTTGAATACAAAAATATCCGTGAAGTATTCTAATATTTAATTATTATCGGATACGTAAGAGGTGTATCTAATACGTATCATCGAGTATCCGACAAGTATCATATCCGATACAGTATTCGATACGGGTTCGTCGACCTCAACGAAATATTCGTGCTTCATAGTATATAGGGATACATATTTGTTGTGAGACTAAACTTTGATTATTGAATCTTGATATTGCTTCTTCCTAAAATTATCTCTCTATTCTTATCCCCTTCTTCTTTTTTTTTCATTCTTTTCTTCTTCCATTCTCATCCCTAATTTTTCCTAATACGATCTACATCAATTTGGTATCAGAGCCCAATTTCGATTCGTACAAATCACAAAAATCACAGCAACATTGTTCATCAAAAAAAAAAAAATCATTGTTCACTCGTGCACTATTCATCAGTGAAAAAAAAACAAGGCTAGCCAGGAAAAAATAAAAAAATTATTAGATTTCGTTGTTGTAGCAGTTGCCTGGTGGGTTAAGCTTTGACCCAAAGTCCACAATATTATCAAAAACATCCCCAGCAGATTCAAAAAATTACAGAAACAACATTCCAGCTGTTCTATAATTACAAAAACACCCCATAAAGTTCTAGAAGTTACAAAATCACCACCAGAAGTTCTAGAAATTGCAAAGTCTTCCTCCCAGAAGTTTCAAAAATTGTAGAATCATCCCCAAAAGTTTTGAAATTTCTTTTTGATTATGGTATGCATACTCCTATAGATTTTGAGACTAATATTTTTATTCATTGGAAAATTAGAGAATATGCAAAGGGTCCAAAACACGTTTTCTTCTATTTAAACTTTCTTGAAATTGTCAATTGCATTCTTAAATTTGTTCTTATACCATTCTCATCTCTCAAGAGTTACTCATGAGTTCCTCTAATACACATGTTTCAAGAGTCTCTCGTCAAGGTTATCATCATAGGAAGTCTAGGAATGTTACATGGAGTCAACTCATATGACCAAACTAGTTAAAGATCCTTCTATATTTAGTGGCACTTTAGATCCTTTTAAATTCTTGAATTGGTTAGCTAATGTAGAAGAATATTTTGATTGGCTTGGTATGTTGGATTCCCATTGCATCCATTTTGTTAAATTGATGTTGGAGGGTTCAGTCAAGAAGTATTGACAAACAATCCAAAGAAACCTAGATCCTTTAGGAGAATCACCTGTCACTTGGGTTGAAATGAGGTATAAATTGAAAGAGAAATATTTGCCTACTTCTTACATGGATCAAGTTTATGACCAATGGCTCAATTTTAGACAACATTCTTCTAGTGTCTTTGATTACTTTGCCCAGTTTGATTATCTCATATACTTGTGTGACATTGTTGAAGAACTTTGGACAATTGATCAGTTTATTTTTGGGTTGAGACAAAAAATTAGTAGGGAAGTCAAACAATATACTTTTAGTACGTTAGTTGCAGCCTATCAATATGCTCTAAAGGTTGAGAGATTTCATAAAAAATTCAACTATAGCTTTATGGGTTCTCAATCTCAGTCTGCTAAACAGTGTGACAGGATATCTTCCAATTTTAATTCCACCACATATGAGTATCATGATTACTTGAATGATATCCATGTTATTTCTGCATGTTTTCCTAATTCTATGGTGATCCTAGATTTGGATGATACACTCTCACATACAAAAAAAGATATTACTCATGTTGACTTCCAATTCCCTTGTTCGGTTTTATTAGATCAGAGTTTACCTCCTTCATCCCAACAAAAATCAATACCAGAAGAAAGTGAGTTTGAGTCTTTGCTAGATTCAAATGTTGAGTCACCACTTGTAATAGAACTTGCTGAAAAGTCTATCGAGTCCACACTAATGAAAGATGTCGAGCTTATTGAGTTACCTATTTCAGAATTTTTTTGGTGATCGTTTTGTGTCTCTTATTTCAAGTCAATCTAACTTTGTTCTCAAATCTTTTTCCACTGAAATAGTTGACTTTATTCCTACTATCAAGATTTCACTTGAGTTGGTACTTAATTATTTTAATCACCAAGGCGTTATTGTTACTCCTTTGTCATCGATGTCTTGTCCAATTGAATACTTTTTGTTGAAACCTAATGAGAATTGTTTTGCTATTCTCGAGTTTGGATCTAATGTTTATTTGGTTAATTTTTCATTGAATGTTATTATTAGTCCAGATTTTTATTTGGAGGGCATGCTATTTAATCGAGGTGCTCCAGAACCTCCTATTTTGTTATCTAGTGTTTCTACGGGTGGAATTGCTTCTTCCTCAGCATTAGCTCCAATTCTTATCTTTCCACTTTTATCGTATATTTCGGGCCGAATAGATGATGTGCTACGTGACCAGATTTATATTGCTATAGATGGAGATTCATGCATTTATTCTAATCGATGGAAAGATATTGATGGTTATTTCATTCTAGATGAAGCGTTCTGTCATCTTCGTTTTACTCTCGTAGGGTACTTCTACTTTGAAGACTTTCCGGAGGAGAGTTTTTCTCAATCGGAGGAGAATGATGGGGATTGTATAGAAATTGGATAGATATTTTAGATTAATCATGAGAATAATTTAGTATTTATCTTTTAAGTATTTTCTTTTAACTTTTAAGGGTTTAATTGTCATTTTGATTAATAATTTATTTTAGAGTTTGTGATCTCCTTATATATATAGGGATACATATTTGTTGTGAGACTAGACTTTGATTATTGATTATTGATATTGAATCTTAAAATTCTCTCTTCCTAAAATTCTCTCTCTATTCTCACCCTCTTCTTCTTCCCTTCTCATCCCTAATTCTTCCCTAAGACAATCTACATTAGGATCATTCTTTGAGAAGGAGAAAGAGCAACATTACTCCAGCTCTCCCTCATTCATGACGGTATAGTATCCAAGTCCTTGGAGAGGGATGTGGGGTCCGGATGGGCTCGTGGTCTGGTGGAAGGCTTCCTGAATCATACAGCTCATACCTTTCGGCCAATGCCTGAAAATACCTAAAAAAATGATACAGCTCCAGCATCTTCTCTGTTGCTTATCTTCTCCACTTCATTGTGTTTGCTTGCTGAATAACAAAGTTTATTATGGGGCGATGGTTCCATTTTTAAGTTCAACTGAAAAGCTGGCTCTTCTGATTACCTTTTGCAGTTCTTTCTGCTGATCAGGCTAGATGTCATGTTATTACAGCTTGTAGATATTTCTGAAAATCTGATATCATCAATTTCTTTTGTCTTTCTGTTATTAACTTGATAAATGAATTCTTAGGGAATGGGAGAACCACTTCACAACATTGAAAATGTCCTAAAAGCTGCAGACATAATGGTAAACGAACAAGGCCTTCACTTCAGCCCTCGCAAGGTTACCGTTTCAACCAGTGGGCTTGTTCCCCAGTTGAAACGTTTTCTCCATGAATCTACCTGTGCATTGGCTGTCAGCTTGAATGCTACCACAGATGAGGTATCTTTTTCTGCATCTAAGTCTAACTGCGGGCAGTCGTGCACATACACACACACAGCTATAGGGAGAGTTGATTCACCTTTATGGTAAAAAAAAATATTGCAGGTCAGGAATTGGATTATGCCAATTAATCGCAAGTATAACTTGGCCTTGCTTCTGGAGACCCTTCGGGAGGGACTACGCTTCAAACGGAATTACAAAGTTCTCTTCGAATATGTAATGCTTGCAGGAGTCAATGACAGGTCAGACAAGCCTTTACACTGTCTTGACGTTATTATCTTTGTTGTGGTCTCTAAAAGTGATTGTTACTAGATCTGTGTTTTAATCAACATATTGCATGGAAATCGGACTAGTCCATTGTATTTTTGGTAGCATGTTTCCACAATACTTCAGATATCTGTTTCCTCTTCACATTGCAAATGTTTGAATATTCCATATTAGCATTGAACTCGATCCTAAAAGTACCATTTCCATCAGATTTTTTTTTTTTTTGGGGGGGGGTTCTTTTGAATTTGAGTTTTTTTGACGTTTCTGGAGTTGTTATCTGATGGTTACTACCTTACTGCTGCCCTTAATGGCCTAAGTCCCTTCATTCTTGTGTGAATATTAGACCAACTAAAGTGCAGTTATATTTTTTAAATCAGTATTGCCCATTTTCTATGAATCATTTGCATCGTTTGTACAAGGACATCCAATTGATTTTGATGTCTCAAAATAAAATTATCACACGTGTATTGGTTTCTGTTTGCAGTATTGACGATGCAAAGAGGTTGATTGATCTTGTCCAGGGAATTCCTTGCAAGATCAATCTCATATCTTTCAACCCTCATTCTGGATCCCAGTTCAAACCAACCAGGGAAGAAAAGATGATTGAGTTCCGTAATATTCTGGCAGAAGCAGGTTGTGTTGTTTTCTTGCGACTGAGTAGAGGGGATGATCAGATGGCTGCCTGTGGTCAGCTTGGCAAGCCAGGGGAAATCCAAGCTCCGTTGCTACGAGTGCCTGCTCAATTCCAAGCAGCATTAAAAGCATCACTATGACTGCCAGTTGCCCAGTTTGAGCACCCTATTCAGTTTTCTAAATCTCATCACCATGATGATATGGAACCATCATTTTGTGAATCCAATCTCTGGACGAGTTATCTTGGTGTTGCTTGGTTTATCAGGGTGATACACCATTTTTCGGGTAAGGGCAGGCCGTAATCTTCTACTTTCTGATTTATTCCTATATGAGACTTTCTCCATCATGTTTGTATCCGCATACTGGCCTCTCCAGTGACTTGTGTCCTCTTAGCTGCTACCTCTTNACTTTCTGATTTATTCCTATATGAGACTTTCTCCATCATGTTTGTATCCGCATACTGGCCTCTCCAGTGACTTGTGTCCTCTTAGCTGCTACCTCTTGGGGATTCAAGGATGGCAAAGAAGAATGGAAGTACCGACTTACTTTTTGCGAAGGCACTGTGTGAATACCATTCGATCCCGAGACACTGATGGTATTTGAAAGTATGGTGATACCCATGTTTTTCTATTNTTGGGGATTCAAGGATGGCAAAGAAGAATGGAAGTACCGACTTACTTTTTGCGAAGACACTGTGTGAATACCATTCGATCCCGAGACACTGATGGTATTTGAAAGTATGGTGATACCCATGTTTTTCTATTTGTTTTTTTGAATTCTCATCCATGTTTAGTCATATTTGCTATTGAAATGTCCATTATGGCACGATGGCTTCTGAGACAGCTTATAACAGTTCATTACATGAGCACACAATGATGTTCTGCGCAGCATATGAAACATGCTCTTCATGGGTTTCTTCCCCAAGCTCATCTCTGTGTTTCACACTTCATACGTGTCAATAATAATATGATACCACTGATGTGATAAATATTTAGTCCTATAGTAGGTAAATGTTGATGCCTTTATTCATACATAGTATGACAAAAGGGCTAAAATTCGGGGGACAAATCCACTTTGAAGTTGATTTATTCGCTCGGCCAATTGTTGGAAAGTGTACGGGATACCATAAGGGACCAATATCTCAGTATCACCTTTCTTTTATGTTTTTTTTTTCTCTGTTAATGAAATGGTTCTCAAGATTTGCATTTTGTCAGTGGTCATACTTCCTATTATTTGCAGTCATGGAAGAGGATTCCTCTTGATTATTATTTTTTTCTCTTGAGTTGAATTTGAATTTACAATCTCAATGTGAATATGTAGTAGGAATATTAAAACAGGATTCATTCTCAAATTGGGATTTAAACTTAAAAGGGGTCTGCCAATGAGTCATATTGTATCTAACTAACGTCCGTGTTGAAAATTTTCAGCACTCCTACAAATTGCTAACGGGGATGACATGAGCTGCTGGATTTTGAGTTACATTTTTACAAATCGTGGGCCCGCNGGGGTCTGCCAATGAGTCATATTGTATCTAACTAACGTCCGTGTTGAAAATTTTCAACACTCCTACAAATTGCTAACAGGGATGACAGGAGCTGCTGGATTTTGAGTTACATTTTTACAAATTGTGGGCTCACCATTTTTAAAAGGAGCATCATTCTATTCCGATTCTTTCGTGAGGACTTGTGGCCATTGTTTATTGCTTTGCTGCTAAAAGGTGCAAGGAAAAGTTATTGTGGTCATTTGTTTATTATATATTGCTTGATGGTATACCTTCTACGCGTGTAAATGTAAACTATTGTCTATAGTCAGTTGCTTGATATTCCCACTTCATTTCGGTATTTGACAATTGGTATGTTGGCTTTAGTGCTAAAGGTAAGATTATTAAGAAAAAAAGATTTAGATCTATTTAGGTACTTGTTTTTTCAATTCATTTAGTATTTGGACTGAAACTAAAACAAAAATTATGAATTTATTGTATTCAAGTAAGTCTTTCTTTGACACTTAGAGGGCTATTCATAGTTGAGAATTTAAATAGATCAAAAAATGGGTATCAAAATTGGAATTTCATCCTGGGTGGGGGTGGATAAGTTCAATTTTCTTTATAAAAAAACATTTAAACTACAAATCTTTATTAATTGCCAAGAAAAAATAATTAAATTTGATCGGTAGAGCCTTACAATAATGGAAATTTTTTTTTATTGTTGCAATAATTCAAAAGATAGTCTAACGTACAATCCTTTCGTTAGTGTGAATTCAATAAAAAATCAGATGTATGTAGGTTTTACCCTTTCCAAACAAGCAAAGCAAGCAGAGAGATTATTTTCGTGGCTCGTACTTTTGATGTCCAAGTCACAATTTTTTATTTTATTTTTTAGTCATGTTACATCAGATAAACAAGTAAAAAAAAAGACATAAAACAAATCAATAGTAACCATCTATCTTAGCCAATACTACCTCTATTTAATATTCAAGTCACAATAAAACAATCTTATTATAGTGTCAATGCTCGGCCCGTAAAAACCAATAATTCANGCTGCTAAAAGGTGCAAGGAAAAGTTATTGTGGTCATTTGTTTATTATATATTGCTTGATGGTATACCTTCTACGCGTGTAAATGTAAACTATTGTCTATAGTCAGTTGCTTGATATTCCCACTTCATTTCGGTATTTGACAATTGGTATGTTGGCTTTAGTGCTAAAGGTAAGATTATTAAGAAAAAAAGATTTAGATCTATTTAGGTACTTGTTTTTTCAATTCATTTAGTATTTGGACTGAAACTAAAACAAAAATTATGAATTTATTGTATTCAAGTAAGTCTTTCTTTGACACTTAGAGGGCTATTCATAGTTGAGAATTTAAATAGATCAAAAAATGGGTATCAAAATTGGAATTTCATCCTGGGTGGGGGTGGATAAGTTCAATTTTCTTTATAAAAAAACATTTAAACTACAAATCTTTATTAATTGCCAAGAAAAAATAATTAAATTTGATCGGTAGAGCCTTACAATAATGGAAATTTTTTTTTATTGTTGCAATAATTCAAAAGATAGTCTAACGTACAATCCTTTCGTTAGTGTGAATTCAATAAAAAATCAGATGTATGTAGGTTTTACCCTTTCCAAACAAGCAAAGCAAGCAGAGAGATTATTTTCGTGGCTCGTACTTTTGATGTCCAAGTCACAATTTTTTATTTTATTTTTTAGTCATGTTACATCAGATAAACAAGTAAAAAAAAAGACATAAAACAAATCAATAGTAACCATCTATCTTAGCCAATACTACCTCTATTTAATATTCAAGTCACAATAAAACAATCTTATTATAGTGTCAATGCTCGGCCCGTAAAAACCAATAATTCAAGTGGTACGGACTACCATCATGGCCCAATAAAGAGTTCTAGTTTTGTTTGGTCAATTGGATTTTCTATTGATTCATGTATTGGTCACCGACGATTTAGTCTCTCTATTTGTAAAAAAAAAGACTACGTATATCTAACTCTTTTAAGACGTATATCTCCAACAATACAAGTTGCGTGATAAATAGGCATCTTTGACTTAATATGTGTTTGATTGTATGAAGCTTTGCAGAATTTGCAGAATTTATAATGATAGCTTCTTGCTTATCCACTACAAGCAATCGTGTCATTTCCATCAAATTATAGGGNGCCTTACAATAATGGAAATTTTTTTTTATTGTTGCAATAATTCAAAAGATAGTCTAGCGTACAATCCTTTCGTTAGTGTGAATTCAATAAAAAATCAGATGTATGTAGGTTTTACCCTTTCCAAGCAAGCAAGCAGAGAGATTATTTTCGTGACTCGTACTTTTGATGTCCAAGTCACAATTTTTTATTTTATTTTTTAGTCATGTTACATCAGATAAACAAGTAAAAAAAAAAGACATAAAACAAATCAATAGTAACCATCTATCTTAGCCAATACCACCTCTATTTAATATTCAAGTCACAATAAAACAATCTTATTATAGTGTCAATGCTCGGCCCGTAAAAATCAATAATTTAAGTGGTACGGACTACCATCATGGCCCAATAAAGAGTTCTAGTTTTGTTTGGTCAATTGGATTTTCTATTGATTCATGTATTGGTCTCCAACGATTTAGTCTCTCTATTTGTAAAAAAAAAGACTATATATATCTAACTCTTTTAAGACATATATCTCCAACAATACAAGTTACGTGATAAATAGACATCTTTGACTTAATATGTGTTTGATTGTATGAAGCAGTAGTGTTCGCAGAATTTATAATGATAGCTTCTTGCCTTTCCACTACGAGCAATCGTGTCATTTCCATCAGATTATAGAGTAAAAGTTTATTTGCTGTAAAGTCAATATTTCTTACTTAATTTGATATATAATAGGTAAATGATTATATTTATTTTTTTTAACCCAAAAAAAAAGAAAATTATATATCTCTTGTCTATGGATGAAGTGCACCNATGTCCAAGTCACAATTTTTTATTTTATTTTTTAGTCATGTTACATCAGATAAACAAGTAAAAAAAAAAGACATAAAACAAATCAATAGTAACCATCTATCTTAGCCAATACCACCTCTATTTAATATTCAAGTCACAATAAAACAATCTTATTATAGTGTCAATGCTCGGCCCGTAAAAATCAATAATTTAAGTGGTACGGACTACCATCATGGCCCAATAAAGAGTTCTAGTTTTGTTTGGTCAATTGGATTTTCTATTGATTCATGTATTGGTCTCCAACGATTTAGTCTCTCTATTTGTAAAAAAAAAGACTATATATATCTAACTCTTTTAAGACATATATCTCCAACAATACAAGTTACGTGATAAATAGACATCTTTGACTTAATATGTGTTTGATTGTATGAAGCAGTAGTGTTCGCAGAATTTATAATGATAGCTTCTTGCCTTTCCACTACGAGCAATCGTGTCATTTCCATCAGATTATAGAGTAAAAGTTTATTTGCTGTAAAGTCAATATTTCTTACTTAATTTGATATATAATAGGTAAATGATTATATTTATTTTTTTTAACCAAAAAAAAAATAAATTATATATCTCTTAACTATGGATGAAGTGCAACCTACTTGATTTCAGATTTTCTCGAATCAAAATCCATAAATGTTTAAAACAGGACAAGGCTCGTAAAGTTTGCTTGTGGACTTCAATAATTAATTAATTAATATTACTCGTTTTCAATGCGTATTGCTCAAAATTGCTTATTACATCTTTCTTTTTTTTTTTTTTTTGGCTGGCTAGTAGCTTATTACATCTTTAATTGATGGGGTTGGTTACTGCTTTTAGACGCTACCAATTCCATCAATATCTCTGTTACGGAACTCGAATCATTTCACGTCCCTTCGTTCACTCACCGACGACACAAATACACAAACTCAAGGACTGTACCTATGTCTAGAGTAATAATTTTTGAGATAATATAAAATTAATTAGTTTGAGTTAATTAATTTTTTTTTATATAAAATCAAAAATAATACGAACAATTAAAAACGAATAATTTAAAAGTGACACGATGTTTAACTAATATTTAATTAATAAATAATTTTTTATTATTTTTATGAAGTATTGACATCAAACTTAGTTTTTAATTGTGGATTCAAGAGTTGTAAGGGTGTTAGCTCTGATAAATAGGTCGAGTTAGTATAAAAATATTTGAAATAAATAATAAATGAATTAGATTGAAGGTGATTATTTATAATATAAAATAGAATAAATTTTAATGAGTCTATTTGACAATTTTAAATAAATTTATCTAACGATCATTAACGTCTGTCTTAAAATTATTCATATTATAACGTATCTTAGTTGAAAAGTTATTCGATGCAAATCCGAATTGATAAGACCCACAAAAAATGAAAAAATTCAAAATGCTAAACTATCTGATTTCTAATTGGAGCGTTTATTTCACGGACACACGGCAAGCGTACACGAAATAAACGCTTTTTTGGCGGCATCACTTCACCACTACTCCAAAATTCCTGTTAATATACATAACTCCTTTTGCCTCTCCCTCAACCGCACCTGTTATTTCTCTTCTCTTCTCTTCTGTCTTAAAATTATTCATATTATAACGTATCTTAGTTGGAAAGTTATTCGATGCGAATCCGAATTGATAAGACCCACAAAAAATGAAAAAATTCAAAATGCTAAACTATCTGATTTCTAATTGGAGCGTTTATTTCACGGACACACGGCAAGCGTACACGAAATAAACGCTTTTTTGGCGGCATCACTTCACCACTACTCCAAAATTCCTGTTAATATACATAACTCCTTTTGCCTCTCCCTCAACCGCACCTGTTATTTCTCTTCTCTTCTCTTCTCTCTCTCCCNATCTTAGTTGAAAAGTTATTCGATGCAAATCCGAATTGATAAGACCCACAAAAAATGAAAAAATTCAAAATGCTAAACTATCTGATTTCTAATTGGAGCGTTTATTTCACGGACACACGGCAAGCGTACACGAAATAAACGCTTTTTTGGCGGCATCACTTCACCCCTACTCCAAAATTCCTGTTAATATACATAACTCCTTTTGCCTCTCCCTCACGCACCTGTTATTTCTCTTCTCTTCTCTTCTCTTCTCTCTCTCCCTCTCCAAGTTCCAAACCCTATTCACTCATACACTTCATCATTTTGGAAAATCTCTGCTTGAATCGTATCTGTGAGTTCGACAATGGGAGCTAGTTACATGGAAGAGCTCCCGAGCTACAGCAATGCATCATGGGCTGACGACCGGCGATTCTCCAAGATAGTTCACGATAACGTCCACGGCAACATCTATCTCGATCCTGTACTGCGGCCTCTTTCGCTACTTCTGTTTTGCATTTTGTACGAATTTTGGTCTCGGTGTTTATAGTCTCCGAATTTATTCCGGAAAATGTGGAGAAGCATTGGAGTATTATCAATTTTATGTGCTTCAAGTCCAGTTGATTGAAATTGTTTCCAATTATGATTGATTTGGATGTAGATTTCAGGCAGAATTGAACAATCTCTGAGTTTTATTCTCATAGTTTTGGCTTTTATTAAACTATATATATATATATATGTATATAATTTTGATCGCTTTTGTTATAAATTGCAGCTCTGTGTGAAGTTCATTGACACCGAACAGTTTCAGAGGTAATCTTGTTCAATTTAAACATTTCTGTTTTTCTTCTCTCACTTTTCAGTAAGATTTACCTTGCGCTTGAATATCGTTCTCTCTTGAATTTATTCATTTGAACAGTCTTCTAATAATTTCTGATTCATTGCAGACTTCGCGACCTGAAGCAACTCGGTGAGTCATCTTCTGAGGAGGTTAATTAATAGAAACACTAGTTTACAAAGCTAATTAACGAACATATATTTGTTTCGCTGTCATATTTGCAATAGTTTTTTTTTTTTTGACAATAAATAGATGAGTAATATATGGAACTGGCATGCTAATTGTTTGAGCATTTTTGTTTCACGGCTTATTTTTAGTAATACATGTCCAAACTTATGAAGTATAATGTATACGAACTTTACGAAACAGATTGAAAATATTCTGAAGAACCACAGATTTGTTGACTTTATGCCCTTCAGCTGTGCGGAGTTTACATAGGCTTAACTTTAGATTATCATTCTTTCCTGTCTATGTCAATATTAAAAACAAAATAGCAAATGGAAAACTATTTATTTGTCTTTTCTTTTGAATATGACTTTCTTATTTCTTCCCTATTTAATTGAATTTAAGGTTGTTTTTTGTATCAATCACACACATTAATCTGTGATCTTATCTAAAGATTTTCTAATGGATTTATTGGCTGTATTTTGAGTAAAAAAACTGAACAAGGAACTATAAAAAGGAGGGAGGAACTTTCCACATTGAGAGCTTCAATCAAAACACACAAATACTGTGCATCTATGATTCGTACCAGGAAAGACTTCATGCAGGATACTTGCAGCCTTCAACCTGAACTGAGAACAAAGTTTTGGAGTTAGCTTTGAGGTTAGGAAGGTCAAGGGGGGAACACCATACTTGCATCGAAGGACCACTGTTTGCCAATTTTCAAAGAGCTAACCTGTCACTTCCCTATTGAAAGGGACAAAGCTGGGTGATAGACTATTTAAGATGCAATTCCAAAGGCCCTACTTATTTTTGCTATATCTTACCATTAAGACCTTTGTTTCTGAGTTGTTGAACGCAATTCAACAAAACTGTGTAATCAATATTGCGAAATTGGTTGGTGTCTTGCCATGGTACACATCCTCTTTTGCCCGTAAAAAATTGTGAATGATATTTTAAAGGATAAGCATGCCTGTTTTGCCACTGACAATTTCTAGTGTATTTATTTTCTTGTCCCCTTTTTCACACGGGGGTTAATCTTTGCCTCACCTATATTGTGGAGTAGCTCATCTTTTTATCAATGATAAATTAATCTCTGGAGTGCATATTTTTATGCATAAACACCAAGATAGTGGACTATATATGACAATGTAATTGAAGCACTTACCCCAAAAAATATTTGGTTGGCTACATGAATCCTGTTGCTCTATTAAGAGTCATGTTTTATGTTTAACTGATAGGTTGTCATATGTTTATTTTCTATTTTATTTCAAGTTAATTGTGGTCAAGTGAAATAATTCTCCTGCTAGAGTTTATTTGCAAATCATTCTGGCTTTACTCAACCCTTTAGAAATTATCCTCTGTATAATACATTGCCATTTGTCCAGCCTTATCTGTACAAATATCATTTTTCAATGTTTGAGGGCTTGAACTTGTCACTGATTATACGTTCATTCGATTTCAGGTGTGACACACTTGGTATATCCAGGGGCTGTACATTCTCGTTTTGAGCATTCACTGGGGGTGTATTGGCTGGCTGGTGAAGCCATTCATAGAATTAAAGGCTACCAAGTAGGAAAATATCCTGATTATCTGCTAATTCTTGTTCTGGATCCTGTTACTGAGAATAATTTCTTCAAGCACTTGTTTACCTTGTAGGGCTTGGAACTTGACATTGATCGTTTCGATATACAGACAGTAAAACTTGCCGGTAGTTTACACTTTACAGCACTTGCCATAGCTAAAATCACATAAAAAGAGTCATCTATCTAATATGTTTTTCTGATCCTATACTTAGGACTACTGCATGATGTGGGCCATGGGCCATTCAGCCACTTGTTTGAGCGCGAGTTTCTTCCCCGGGTTGTCAATGGCTTGAAGTGGTGATTCTTACATTCTTCAGTAAAATAATTTTGGCAAAGTTCCCATGAAAAGTGATTACACGAAAGTTTGAAGATGCATAGTATCATTTGAATTCTATACCTGCCATGTTACATTATTGGATTGATTTTTTGCTTTTTCTTTGATAACTATCTGAGCTTTTATGAAGAAGCTTAGGGAATTGTGATTTCTGAAGCAAGCATCTGTCATAGTTAATTTGTGAAATGATTTTATTTCTTGGTAGACTGAGACTCATCATTGTTGTTTGAACAATGGAATCGCATTCTAACAGCAACTCCACTTGTTATATATGATAAATAAGCATTAAAATAATTCTTATGTTTGTCATCTATAACTTTTCTTGTTTATCGCAACTCTACTTTTTTATTTCACTGGAGTTTAATATTTACGTTTATGATTGCCAAGTAAGAGCACTCTGTTGTGTTGGTCCCCAAGTCCATTCATTTTTGGGATGCTCAGAGTCTTAAAAAAATCAGAAGTTATGTCGTCAAATATATTACAGTTATCCAAGTTCTACTTTTTGATTTTCCTGGAGCTTAATATTTACATGTAACAGCACTCTGGTGTGTTGGTCCCAAGTCCAGTCATTTTTGGGATGTTGGGATGCTCAGAGTCCTAAACAAATCAGAAGTTATGTTGTCAAATATTTTACAGTTATGACATGGAGTTGAGCGTGCTCCTGGATGCTAATGAAATCATTACTAAAGGTTCTCAATACTTGCATTAGCGTCATCTTAGTTAGTGAGAGGTTGACATATGCAATTAGTCTGGAGTTTATTCTTTATGTTGAATGGTTAAACTTGAATGTTTTCTGTTTTCTGTTATACTGCTTTCATTCCCATCTGTTCTTGTTTTTAAGATATTTTCTTGTGAACAGGTCCCTTTGTTGTTGGCAGTTGTAAGTTACATGACTTGGAATTTGACGCTGTATGAATATAGGGGAAAATGCTAGATAAATGGAATACATGATGTTTTTGTATGACATATACCTGCGATTTTTATTTAGTATGTGTACAATTAATTTCATTGATTTTCACTTTACTTAAATGTTACAAAGCTTCATCTTTCTTGGGATTCTTCTCAGACTTTGGCATAACCCCTGAACATTGGTTCAGCTTTTCCGTGTACCTAAATTGCTTTTTGGTGATAGTTTTATCCATTCCTCCTGTATTCGGCCTGACTGAATCAATTTGCAGGTCTCATGAGGAAATGTCTTTGAACATGATAGACTACATAGTTGATGACCACAACATCGACATTGATTCTGCAAGTCTTAAGAAAGTCAAGGTTAAATTGTTATGATTATATTTTCATAATTTTTTCTTTCCTTTTTCCTTTGTAGTGAAGTGCTCTCCAGAAGTGGCTTTTCCTGCCATTCAAATCACAATTTTGACAATCCAAAGTCAAATTTTGTGTCACATGAAAGGATTATACTGTTGGATGCTAAGATTGGATAATGCAGTCTTTAGTATAAATTTCTGACAATTTATATCTCTGCATTTTACCATTTCTGGACATGTCTTTTTAGCCTTTGAAAATTTTGTATTATTTCTTTATTAGGTGAAGAAAAGTGTGGGCGTAGGCCCATTAGCACTATTAGATGACTACAGAAGTTTTTTTTGTCCTTTCTTCAAATATTGTTCTGAGATTTTTGTTCTTCCTTTTTTCCCTGCAGGAAATGATAGTTGCTTGTGAGAATACTTCAAAAGTAGGTCATACAGCCCAAGGGTTTCTTTGCTTTATTGCCTCAAGTTTCTTGTTCCCTCTTGAATCTCAAAAGTTAAATCCTCAATCATCTTATTTGCCTGCTTCAATTCTCTTCCTCACCAGAAATTGAAAGAGAAATGCTTCCTATATGATATTGTCGCAAATGGTCGAAATGGGATAGATGTTGACAAGTATGTCATCTGATCTCTCTTCAAATTTATGGAACAAACTGTTAGATATAATTTTACTTTTGCTCTAGAATTATGAATCAATTATTTGTTGCAGATTTGATTACATTGTTCGTGACTCCAGGGCTTGTGGTCTGGGTTACAATTTTGAGTTTGATAGGTTTGTGTGAAAATTTTCGAAAAAGCTTGATCTTATATTTGGCTACTCTCTTCAAGTTTACTCATAACTTCAATGATGGTTTTGGATAATTGGTTTTTGATTTTCACTATGGGGATATACCCTTGATTTTCTTTTGACTTGAATTGATAACTTCTGACAGAAACATGTGTCCTGTCGTAACTTGCAGGCTATTGGAAACAATGCGAGTTATGGATGATGAAATATGCTATCGTGCCAAGGAATGTGAGTATTTGTTAAGATTCTGTTCTCCTAATTATGTTAATCGCGACTATATTCTTCAGCTTATGGTCTATAATTTTATCAGATCTTACACTCCAAAAGTTATTCTCCTCCCGTGCTGATCTGCATCGAACAGTCTATATGCATCCGAAAGTAAAGGTGTCAAACTAAACCTTCATTTTATGTAGCTCAGAAATTCTATTTTTCCTACCTGATATTTTTATTTCTATTTGCAGGCAATAGAATTCATGCTTGTAGATGCCCTGATAAAAGCAAATGATCATCTCAATATTGCATCTTCTGTTCATGATCCTGCTATATACTGGAAGGTCAATGAGTTAGTCTCCTATGCCATACAGTTTTGAATTTTATTATTGCAGCCTTATATTATCCATCTTGATGAAAAACTGCAGCTGGACGATTCAATAGTTAAAACCATCGAAACTGCTCCAGACGATGAACTTAAGGAATCCAGGGATCTGATTTTACGGATTAGGAGGAGGGAGTTATATCAGGTGCTTAATAAGTTTATGAGGAAGCAAAGGGTCATTATATCTGAAAGTGTGGAAGTAATTTAGAACAATATCTATTGTATGCATGCTCTTTTAAAAAAAAAAAAATCTATTGTATGCATGCTTTTTTTGAAGTATTTGTAAAAAGTCAACAAATTCTGACAACTTTATGATGTTTTGACAGTTCTGCAATGAATTTTCTGTTCCAAAGGACAAGCTGGAACACTTCAAAGAAGTCACTCCCCAGGATATTGTTTGTTCACAGGTCCTGCAAACTTCATTTTCTTAGTGATTTGTATGCATAGATGAGACGGAGAATCTCTCACAAACTAACTTTTGATCCAGAAAACTAGTGGTATTATGCTGCAAGAAGATGATGTTGCTGTGAGCAATGTCAAAATTGATTTGACACGTGGAAGGAATAATCCTCTGGAAAGGTATTGTTGGAATATTTGAGTAGCAATTATGATGAATACACTTTCCTTTTACTCAAACTCTTGATTTATTAATGCTAATCTCATTTAAAACGACCTTTTCTTCTGTGTGCGTGATATCCTGATGCAGCATCAATTTTTTCAAGGTACTGAGATCTCTTTCACTGCATATTTTATTCTCCTTCCTTATTATAAGTACCTTTATAAGTCTCACTAAAGGACAGATTATAGAAATTAAAGGTTGCACAAATGAATCCAAACAGTTGCTAACTTACTGCAAATCAAGACGGTATTATGGTAGTGCAACTGCTCTTGATGAAAAAACACAAAATTTAACCAGGGAATAGACACAATTTAACCGGGGTTTAGTTTCACTTGAAATAATCGTGAGTGAAAAAGGGATACAAACTAAATGTAGAGCCCCTGTATATATAGCCAATGAAAGTTATAATAAAGATAAAAAGGTAAAAAAGAGAAAACTTAATAAACCCTAATAAACTAAACTGTTATATTTCCAACACTCCCCCTCAAGCTAGGCTCAAAAATGTCAACTAAGCCAAGTTTGATAATAGAGTCCCGAAGAATGGATAGAGTGACAGGTTTGGTGAAAACATCCGCAACCTGATCACTAGTTCCCACAAACATTGGAGTGACAATACCATTGCTACCTTCTCCCGAAGAAAGTGAATATCGATCTCTATATGCTTCGTCCTCTCGTGTAATACAGAATCAGAAGCGAGCTGAATAGCAGATCAATTATCATAATATAAAGTAGATGAAGAAGTCAGTGGAAATCCCAACTCGTCAAGAATCGATTGTAGCCAGATAATCTCACATGTGTCAAGTGTCAGTGTCCGATACTCTGCCTCTGCTGACGAACGAGAGACAACTAACTGTTTCTTGCTTTTTCAAGAGATAAGATGAGTCCCTCGAAAAGCACAGAAGTCCGTAGTAGAACGACCGTCACATGCTCCCCCATAATCTGAATCTGAATAACAGGTTAGAGAACTAATCTGGGATCTTGATGCATAGAACAATCCAAGTCCAGGACAAGACTTGAGGTACCAAAGAATATGATAAACTGCATCAAGATGTGGCTGACATGGTCTGTGCATGAACTGACTAACTCGGTTAACAGCGAATGATATGTCTGGCCTAGTGTTGGCTAGGTAGATAAGTCTACCTACCAACCTCTGATAGACAGTCGAATCTCCCAACTCCTCACCTTTAGCAGTAAGTTTCAGGTTTGGAATCATGGGTGATGATGTCAGTTTGCACCCCAGTATCCCAGTGTCTGAGAGAAGGTCTAGAATATACTTTCTTTGAGAAAGAACAATACCTCTGCTGCTACGGGCAACCTCAATCCCAAGAAAGTATCGCAAAAATCCTAGGTCTTTCACATCGAAGGCCTTCCCAAGGTCTACCTTAACCTGCGCAGTCCCAGAAACATCATCTCCAGTAATAATAATATCATCAACATATACCAAAAAAATGACACACTGTCCGGAAGTATTCCGTCGAATGAAGCAGGTATGATCAGAATGACATCTGGTGAATCTTAAATGTACAACTACATCACTAAAGCGAGAGAACAAGGCTCGTGGTGACTGTTTCAGTCCATAAAGAGACTTACGCAGTCGACAAACTTTTCCAGCATACTCCCCCTCACCACGAAAGCCCGGTGGTGCATCCATATAAATAATCTCGTCCAGATCACCATGAAGAAATGCATTCTTCACATCCAATTGATGAAGAGGCCAAGGGTACTCCGCAGCCAGAGAAATAATCAGTCGAACAGTAGTCAATTTTGCCAAGGGGGCAAAGGTAGCACCAAAATCACGACCTGGTACCTGAGTAAAGCCCTTCGCCACAAGCCTAGCCTTGTGACGATCAATAGTACCATCCGCAAGAAACTTCAGGGTGTAAACCAGCGACAACTAACAGGCTTCACTCCTGAAGATAAAGAGACAAGATCACACGTATGATTACACTGAAGAGCGTCCATCTCTGTCTGCATGGCAAGAACCCACTAGAGCTCCCGCATAGCCTCTGAAATAGAGCGAGGAACCAGCGTATCTGATAAGGCCATACTATAAGCTCGAAATGTAGGAGACAGATCACCATAAGAAACATAAGCAGAGATCGAATATAAAACCCTGGCAGTCTTAACTATAACGAACAACTAGACGACGATCACGCCGCGGATAACAACGTCCTAAATCATCATCCCCCACTAATAATGTCTCATTAGGTAAAACAACTGGCTCAGTACCTGTAATCTCATCAGTACTAACAACAGGTGCATCAATGTACTAAACTAACTGAGAAGTATTACCTGCATCGCCTGAGGTAGAGGGGGCATCAACAGGGGGATGAAAGCGAGGGCGACGAACATAAACCTGCAAAGGAAGAGAAACTGATGACTCTGTACTGATAGGGATGAGTGGCTTTAGAGGAGAAGAGATCGATGACTCTGTAGTGATAGTGACCAATGGATATAGCTCCGGTGGTAATGGAAAATCAAATGGAGTATCATCCATTGGAGGGACAGACATAGGACTGAAAGAAAAATAAGGAATATGCTCAAGGAAGGTAACATCTAGACTGTGATACATACGTCGCCTGACAGGATCATAACACCGATACCCTTTAGACTGATGACAATAGCCCACAAAGACACAACAAATCGCCTTATCATCAAGCTTATGACGAGTAGGAAACCGATCTTGAACAAAACATGTGCAGCCAAAAATATGAGGGAGGACCAAAAAAAGTGTCCGCTCATGAAATAAGACCTGCAAGGGAGCTCTATGCTGAAGAACACGACTCGGTGTACGATTGCCCAAAAAGGTAGAAGTCAAAACAGTAAAATGCCAATAAGATTTTGGTACCCCCATACTTCTAAGCATACAACGTACCTTCCCTATCAGACTCCTATTTTTTCTTTTAGCAACTCCATTTTGCTCAAGAGTATATGAACAAGTGAGCTGCTGAAGGATACCCTGAGAAGAAAGGTGAGACACTAAGGCATTAGACATATATTCTTTGGCATTATCCAAATGAAGAGCATGAACAATGACATCGAACTGTGTTTTAATCATCTGAAGAAATTGAGTGATGACAGGGAGTACATCAGACTTCCTATGCAAAAGGTAGACCCAAGTACAACGGGTATGGTCATCTATAAATGTCACATAATATCGGGCACCTGACAGAGCAGTAACAGGAGAGGGTCCCCAAATATCCGAGTGTATTAGGTCAAATGGTTTGGGTGACTGGTGCATACGAGGAATATAACTGGTCCGAACATGTTTTGATAGGGAACATATAACACAGTCAAGTTTACCACTAACACAAGCTTTGCTCAAAGTAGGAAATAACATACATAAATATTTAAAATTTATATGCCCAAAACGGTCATGCCACAACTGAACAGTTTATGATGAAAAATCATAACAACAAGTATTAGGTAAAATACTAGCATGTAAGCTAGGAACAGGTAAAGACAAAATAGGTGATGGAGGTGGAGATGGAGAAACTAGTGAAACCGGAGGTGGATTGCCTAAATAATATAGTCCATCTCTCTCATGTCCTCTGATAATAATCCTCCTAGTACTCAGGTCCTGCAAATAACACGAATCAGATAAGAATACAACTGCACAGTGAAAATCTCTGGCTAACTGATGTACAGATAATAGATTAATGACCAATTTTAGCGCATGAAACACTGAACGTAATGTAAAGCCATCTAGGAGGTGAACTGTACCCCTACTAACAATAGGGGCATGTGTACCATCTGCTAACTGAATTTGAGTATGTAACTGCTCGTCAAAAGAGGTGAAATGATGGGCCTCACCTGTCATATGACCATTAGCACCTGAGTCCAACATCCAAAGAGGAGACGAACTGGCGCAAGTATAAAAGGCACGAGGTAGACCTGTAGTAGTCGTAGCAGTAGTAGTCGAACCTTAGGAAGTCAATGCTGACATAAGTATATCCAAGCAAGAAGTGATAGTATTCATATCACTCTGCCAAGGAGGAGCAGTAGCAGGAGCAATGACTGTAGGTGGTGGTGCTTTAGCAATGGCAGCAGTACGATTGCGAGGAGGCGGCTTAAGCTCCCAATGGAGCTTCCAAGAAGTAGCCCTGAGATGTCCTAGTCGGCTACAATAATCACACTGACGAGAATCCCCGTATCTACACTGATGTAGGGTACCTTGACGGCGTTGGGCCGAGCACTGTCGACCCTTATACCCGGTGGAAGTACTAACAGATGTCTCAATGATAGGGTTCTTAACTCCCTCAGTAGTAGTCATATCATCAATAATACAAGGGCACCCGTGACAAAAACAACTCTAAGATAAATAGAGAGATAAAATAAGTGAGAACAATATACCTGCAGTCGAACAGTAGCGACAAATAAAGAAGGTCCAGATTGCTCCCAAAAAATCAAGTTATAGTGCCCAGAAATCCAAAAAAAACAATTCAATAAAAATAAATAAGTGATCTACTGCATCAAAAGCAGATCATCGGAGAATCCACTCCGTCCCAAAAAAGTTCTAGAACAAAGTCACAACGAAAATTGTGACCCAGCAGTGGGCTGGACAATGATCCAACAGTAGGAGTGATTTTATTGGGTTTATTGGGTTGGATCTATTATTATTATTATATGGAGAATGGGTAAAGGGCGCTTGGCAGGCTATATATGGCCAGTCGGTTTGGTTTCAATGGGTATATGGTATTGGGTCTCGGTGTATATGATTTTTTTATGGGTTTCGGTGAATATGGTATTGTGTGTATGGGTTTCGATGTATTTGGTATATGTTGTCGGTGCTGGTTTGAAGTTTCGGTGGCTGGGTTTCGTCTGGATTGGGCAGTAGATATAGGGCAGTCAGCGGAGAGAGATGGGCAGTCGGTGCCTGGGTTGCAGGTGGGCAGTCGGTGTGATGTCGCTTGGTTGGGTCGTCATTGGATTGGTTTGGCGCTGTCGGTTTACAGCTTTGTGGTCAGTCGGCTGTGATGTTCTGTGGTCAGTCTGTGTTGTGTTGATCAGTCGGTGTTGTGTTGCTGATTTACAGGGTGTTATGATACCAGGATGTTGTGTTGCTGCTAATCGTCGACTGTCTTGATATTGATGGCTACTAATCGTCGGTGAAGGATGATGAGGGTTAGGGTTAAGGTTAGGCTCTGATACCAACTTGAAATAGTGAGTGAAAAAGAAATACAAATTAAGTGTAAAGTCCCCGTATATATAGTCAATGAAAGTTACAATAAAGATAAAAAAGTAAAAAAGAGAAAACTTAATAAACTCAAATAAACTAAGCTGCTATATCTCCAACAGTTTCTTGTGTGGATGTTATTTCAATTTTGAGTATTCAAGACTTAACATATCTGCTTTGGTTTACCAGGATTACGAGAGTCACGAGAAATTCCCCATTAGACCTGATCAGATCAGTCATTTGCTGCCTGCATTTTGTCAAGATATGATAGTGAGGGTGTACTCCAAAAAACCTGAACTGGTATGTGAAACACTTTCGTATGTATTGTATTCATGAATGGATGGAATTTTCGCACTTTCTTCTCATGAATGAATGAATGAATGTACTTGATAATCTCACAGGTGGAAGCGGTTTCAGAGGCTTTCGAGAATTTTCAGCTGAGGACATATGGGATGAAAAACCAAGTGCATTCAACTCCTGAAAAGAAGAAACGGCGAAGGTTTGGCAATTCTTCGTCTTGATCTGCTTTGCTTCCAGCTGAAACATGTACATATTTCCTATATACATCTAGGCCAAAAGATACAGATGCACACTATAAAGTTGATGAATCCTCAAAGAACAACCCTCCCTCGAGGAAATTCCCCAATATCATGTATACTGGAGCTTCATTTGAATTCCCATATATTGACAGCGCTAACATCTGATTGCATTCTAAGAGCATCTCCAGTAGCACTCTCTAACCCCTTGGGACTAGTGAAAGTTGTAAAAAAACTAGAACTTTTACTCATTTTGTAATGCTAGACTAATTTAAAAAATAAGGTCAAAAGCAATAACCACATAATGTGTTGAGTAAATTTTTAACTTTCAAAGATTAAAAGTGAAATAAAAAATACTATTGTGTCATGTCACATTGTTTGGCTGCTATTTTCTCTCATTATTTGGTCGCATGATCATAATATATAAATAAATAAAGCAATGACTTTTTGGAACTCATATACCCTCCGAACCTGCTAAGAAGCCCACGATGGATGGCGTTGGACCGTTAGATTATTTATTTTAAGTAAGCTAGTTTCTCAATTAATTGAGTTAGTTTCTCGATTAATTATTGCCCAAAGCTGCTTTACGGTTTTTCCTATTTCGACTTGGACTAAAAATACTAGACAGGAAAGGAAAATTGTCCAATCTTTTCAGGATCAAACTCTTTTTTTGAGTATAATTTGAACCCTATAGCAGTGAAAACTAGTGAATTTGACATATTAATTTATATTGATTTTCTATCTTGAACTCTTCATATATATATATAAATGACACGAACTCAATGTTGAACGGCTGGATTCAGTTACAATATTGAGTTCTGGGTTCAATTTCCATTTTTTTTTTTACTTCATAACTAAAACTTGTTTCAATCACATTCTAGTCTTACCTAAATACTAAATGTGCATAATTTTTTTGTAAAATTTGTGCATTAGGACAATCAAAACCCCGTTTGCAAAATTTAAACTCGAGACAATCTAATTATTGATTATTAAAATTATAAAACCCGACTACCTTGCCAATTTATTATTATCATTAGTATAGTTCATGTCAGCTGGGAAATTGTTGACCTCTGGGAATAAGCTGAAATAGCCGAATTTAGAGCAAGTGTCATTGCACTTTTAAAGAAAAAAATGAAAAAAAAAAAAAAAAAAAAGAGCAAATGCCTTCGAAATTTCAACGACTTAAGGGAGATGAATTATGTCTCCCGCTCAGATGAAGATAGATATCATTGAGGGATGAATTTTTTGGTGTATTGTTTTGGTCACTTAAAAAATAAAACATTTCAAAAATATTTTGAAAACCTAATGAAAATGGGAAAAAAATTGGAATTTTTTTACAGAACATTTCAAAACATTAGACTAAATAAATATATCTATATATTTGGAAACACTTCCAAACATTTCAAAATATCGGTAGAAACATAATAAAAAAAATGGAAACATTCTAAAATATTTTAAAACATTTCGAAATATTAGAATTTTAATTCAATCACCCTTTCAAAATAATATTTTGATACTTGCCTCTCAAATAACTTACTTCGTGATTTCATTGTAAGCCATCTACGGGAATAATATTTAAGCATCTATTATACTCCCCCATATCTCTCTCTTTCTCCTCTCCCAGGGGCGACTCGACACATGTTGAGGCCTAAACGTGGTCTTTTGATTTTATATAATATTAATGTAATTTTTTTTTAAAAAAAATATTATCACTAGCTCAAATACACATTCATAATCAACTTATTTTATTCTCAAATTTTGCTATCATATCTTATCAATTACTAACATATCCTTTTGTTTGACACTTGTAATAAATTTATCAAAAGATTTTTTTGAGGTATAATTATTTTTTAAATGTTTTTATTCATAAATTTTTATATCCTGGTGGTTGTATATAATAGATAATCAAAATAAATACATATGATTAAAAAGGATCTATAATTAAAAAAAAATAAGCTTGAATTTAGACAAAAAAACCCAAAAAATATGAAACAATAAAATTTAATTTCCCAATGTTACTTTAAAAAATTAAAATTTAATATTTTGATTATCTCTTGATCAAAATTAAATGATCACTATTGTCAGCAAATTAAAATTGAGTGGACTATTTTTTAGTAGATTTGAAGATTTGAATTTTATGAAGCCCTAGGACAAGGGGAGAGAGATAGATTTTAGATTTTGTGGGTTGATTTATGGATGGGTCTCGAAATTGAACATAAAATTTTCTTATTGACATTAAGCTTTATGAGATTCTTTGAATATTGACTTAGAATATTATGAGTTTAAAGTTTGAGCCTCAATTATATCATAGACCTATGTATTATAGGGTCTCTTTTGTAACCGGGCCATAGAGCCCACGTTTATTTTTGCCTCTCCTCTAGGGTTGGACTTGGCCCTGCTCTCTCTCTCTCTCTCCCTCTCTCTTTAAAATTGAAATCATTTGTTAAAAAATATTTAACAAAGAAATATTTGTTTTCTCAAGGCTTCTCTACACGTGACTTGGAAAATAATTGCAAGAAAATATTGGTATTTCTGACTTTTCCAGGAATTAAAAGGGTATTTTTGTCTTCTAAGCTTTATAAATTTGGATGGGAAACATGTTTAGTTCATACAATTTCATCAATTGGTTGTCTCTCTCACAAATACAATACCTAAGTACACTGGCTAGATTGAAGTTAAACCAATTGCCCAAGAGGACAACCACTCACTTGGATACATATATACAACTGTATGTTTATATATCACGTAATATACAACTCCAAATACAATGCAAAAAAAGGATTACCAAATCAAATGGTTGAACTGCATAGTTAGATGTCTCGTCCAAGAAATATGTGTGGTCCAGATATATATATTTTTCATAAGTATCCAAATATCAAGAAAATGTTTAATACAACAGTGACACTACGTTATCACAGTCACGTGGTGTTACTATCAAATTAAAGAACTACAAGTAGATAAAGTGGATTCCACTAATCTTATGTGTTATTGATTAGATGCGATAGTTACTGGTAATTATGAAAATAGTGGAGTTTACTTTGCCTAGTGTAGTCTTCTAATTTAATAGTGACATTACCTAATAGTGATGAGATAATATCACAGTTCCATTGAATATTTATTAATAACGAACAACCACTGAAAACACGGGCATATCCATTACCCAAAACAGAATTAACCCGGATGTACCAACGAGAGAGTAAGCCTTATACCTTATGAAAAAAGGAAACCAAAGAATTATGATAGTTACAAGGTTAAAGATTTCTGGAAGGCAAATATCTGATAGAGATTAGGATGTACAAGGATATATCAGTTCTATTCAAACACCATATACTATGACAGTATATAATAAGGTCTCATTTGATCATAGAAATACAGATAGTTTAAGCCGAAAACCACAAAGCCTTTGAAGAATTCACTTTCTCCCTCTTCAAGTTAGTACAAGAAAAACCTAGGTCTTCTCTCTATCAGAATTCATTCCTTGTTGATTCTACAGAGCTTGAGGATATGGAGGAAAAGAAGAAGATCAGGGCAGACAAGATTGATCTCAAGAAACTAGATGAGCAACTTGAGAGGTATCTGAATCGTGTGTGGACCAAGCAGGCGGCTGAAGAATCTAGGGTTAGGGTTTCTGCTAATAATGCAGAATGGGAAATCGATCCCAGTAAACTCGTTGTGAAGGATATCATAGCTCATGGCACGTTTGGTCTGGTTCGTCGAGGGGTTTACGATGGAAAAGACGTTGCAGGTAACATGCATGCACATAAATCTATCATCAAATTTCGTTTCCTTTTTTAAGTTTATTATTTCTGTACCCTGATGGTATACAGATATATATATAGTTTTTAGATCACACATGCAAATAAAAAACTGTAAATTAGGAAATAAGTCAAACCCTAAACCCTAAAAACCTCCTCATTTATTTTTCTTGATATTTTTTTTTTGATTGTTCTCGTGTTTTGTCAAGTTCGCGTCATTGCATTGCATTGCACCCTTATNTTTCCTTTTTTAAGTTTATTATTTCTGTACCCTGATGGTATACAGATATATATATATAGTTTTTAGATCACACATGCAAATAAAAAACTGTAAATTAGGAAATAAGGCAAACCCTAAACCCTAAAAGCCTCGTCATTTATTTTTCTTGATATTTTTTTTTTTGGATTGTTCTCGTGTTTTGTCAAGTTCGCGTCATTGCATTGCATTGCACCCTTATGTTGGTTTTTAAGTTTTGAATAAGCAATTAATTTCATATTTGATGGAGATTTTAGAGACAATGTATTTTATCTCTTTTTTTATTCCATTAATTATTTTTCAGTAAAATTGCTTGACTTGGGGACGGAGAGCCTTGGAACAGAAGCTAAAGCAGCATCACTATGGAATGCTTTCATACAGGAAGTTTCGGTTTGGATAAAGCTAGATCATCCTAATGTCACCAAGGTGAATAAACCCTCTTGCCTTGTAGCCCTCTTCATTGATGCTAATATTCTCTTTATGATATTCAATACCTTAGTCAATTAAGCGAATTACATAACCAAGGTTGATAGCATACATAGAGATCCAATAATATCCAAATATCATAAGTGGTGTATTGATTGAGTTCCATCATACTTACCAAATCGTAAGACATCAATGCAATACTATTACGCTTTTGGTCCACAAATATAGGCATGATGGGTCGAACCACATTCATGCTTGTGTTTTATTTCATTTTCTTTTCTATCTTCAATCTCTAACTCATAACATGTGATGATTATCAGAACCATTCTAAAGGAAAAAGAGAATATGTTACTTAACTAGATATTCTTAATGTTGTTCAATTTGAGAGTATAGTCGTTCTAGAAACATATATTAAGATTTATGAAGATTACTTTATTATGAAGTGTTCAAACGTGCTTTTGAGTATACGATGAAATTACTTCTTTATTTAAAAAAAATTACTTAAAAACGTTGCTAAACAGTAGTTTAACAAAGTTATTCTCTTTTCTGTAGTTCATCGGGGCGATTCGGGGCACACCAGAACTGAAAATCAAGACCGATGAAGGTGAAATGCGAATGCCAAGTAATGTTTGTTGCATTGTGGCTGAATATCTTCCTGGAGGCACTCTAAAATCTTACCTCATAAAGAACCGATTACGGCAGCTACCTTTCAAAGTTGTCATGCAACTTGCACTAGAGCTTGCAAGAGGGTAAGTATACTCTATCCATATCGAGTCTGGATCTTTTATATTGTACAACAAAGGTGTTGTTCTTTAAAACGATATTATTTCACATCAAATTGATGTTATTCTATTTAATAAAATAATGTCGTTTTGATGTGAAACAGTATCGTTTTAAGGAACAACACTCATGCTCTTAAAAAACTAACAGCAGAGGATTTAGATCCATCCATATCCAAGACTATCAGATACATGAAATTTAGGGTTAATCAATATATAATTTCTGACATATTTATATGAAAGCAAAGTTTAAATCCGCAGCAAATTATCTTTTGTAAAACACGTTTTCAAGAGAAAAATCTTGAAAGCCTATTTTGTAAACCAGTATTACATTGAAAAGTGCAAGTTTAAACAATGCTTTCATATAGACGACGATTAATTAAGAAATAAGTTGCAAATCCCAGTAGATAGGAAATAAATTTCGAAATTTACAATAAAATAGTCAAAAAATTCATGAAATTAGCAACTTACTTTCATTAAGCCTTTGTTTTGGGTTGATCTGTGTAGTGACCCTTCTCTCTTTTCTTATGTAGATTGAGTTACATTCACTCCAAGAAGATTGTTCACAGAGATATAAAAACAGACAACATTCTTCTTGACAAGAATCATAATGTAAAGATAACCGAGTTTGGAGTTTCCCGGGTTGAGGCTTTGAATCCTAATGAGATTACGGGTCAAACTGGGATTGTGCATTACATGGCCCCAGAAGTATGGTTAATTTTCAAGTTCACTATAATGTCTCTGCTACTTACCTGGCTTCTTTGGATAATCAAATCCAGTCACGATTCAATTGTGGTCAAATTACGACTCAAAAAAGTCAATTGAGATCATTCATAATATTTATAATCGATCTCAAACATTTTGTGATACCAAAGAAAGAACTCTTTGGTTCCATAGCCTAAGCAAATTTTTTTTTTTTTTTTTTTTTCGGTGTGATACCGAGAAAAAACTCTATGGTACCACAATCTGGATTTTTTTAGATAGGACTAAATTATTCAAATGGCTCAAAAATTTATCATTGATTGCAGGTTCTTAGATATGAAGCATACAACCGGAAATGCGATGTCTATAGTTTTGGAATCTGCCTGTGGGAAATCTATTGCTGTGACATACCATATTCTAAACTCGGCCATTTTGAACAAGCTTCATCTGCTGTCAATAAGGTATATGATTTTTCTCCAATTACCCTTCATAAATTTTAGACATGATATTGCAACCAGACACTCAATTGGTGAGTTTTAATTAGTTTTAGTGGGTTCAAGTTGTAAACGAATAAAATGTATAGAGTTGAGGTAAACATATACCACAACCTCGAGTGTACATGACTATAAATAGATCGTAGGTGGATTAATCAAATTTTGACTCGATACAATACCACACATCTATCTCCGATTACTCGTATTTTCATATCCATATGTATACCAATACTTTTGGAGCTAGAACAGCTAATATGTGAATGTAACATATGAACTCAGTAGTTGAATAAAAACTAATTAGCAAAACTTGTACTCGAAACTTGCAGAATACGAGGCCAAAGATACCCAGACGTTGCCCAAGCTCTCTCTCTGAAGTGATGAAGAAATGCTGGGATGCCGACCCGAAGAACAGGCCGGAGATGGAAGAGGTGGCACGCATGTTAGAAGCCATCGGCACATCACATGGTCAACATCAGGGTTGTTTCTGCTTCTCCAGACATCGAGGGACTTTAATGAAGTAACTAAGACAAACTTGTAAAACATATTGGGAGATATTGAGGGACTTCAATGAAGTAACTAACTCAAACTTGTAAAACATAGTGGGAAAAATAACACAAGTCAATTCAAGTTGTACATATTAACATGAATAGCACAAGAAATTCAAGTTGTACATACTTTTCATTATTCCTTTGACTTTGTTTGTGAATTAAAGGAGCATTAGAACATATTAATCTTCGATCCAGTTATGTTTTTTTCCGAAATAGTTGAGAATAAAAACTTTGTTGAGTTGAGTTTTGTGTTTTGCAATCAAAATCCATGACAAATGGTGAGGATTACTTCATCAAAAGTGATAGCATATAAGAGGTTGATATAAACCAAATAAAACCATATATCGAGACGTGCTTTCCATTAAGCAGATAATGCTAATGGTCAATCAATTCCTTTTTGCTTCATCTCTATTTACACAACTAATAAATGACAGAAGTCAAGCACTTGATAACCAGAGGAAGAATCTTACCAATACTTGGTCATCTGTTTCGTCACAACTGAAGAAGCAGTTTAGAGTGCTGCTAAAACTCAGCATGGCACGTTAGTATTGACGGGATGACCTCTACAGTATACTTCACTTCCCGAATGAATCAATAGTCAATTTTCCTTCGTCTTTTGGACTCCCAGCTTGCACTGGTCGCATTTTGACCAATTTACATCCTATACAAAAGTAGTTCAAAAATTTCTTACCAAGCTGATTCGCCATAGGAACACCAGCAGCGAAATGAGGAACATGGTATTAACAGCAATCATGAGCTGTATAGAGATAGGAACACCCAGGTACCCGACTACAATATTTCACGGCATTTGTAATAACACAAGGATGCTGATAATTTGGTGCTCTACACCTCCGGCAAGAGCTACAGCTTGTGGCAAAGACTGAGGATCATGTGTTATCAGTTGCATCCTTGAATTCCTCCTTAAGTAAATCACGTATTTTCTTTCTGAGACGAGAGGGTTCTTCAGGTCCAAACCAATGCTTGCCAAACTGAGATAACCACCAAGTAAAATAGTATATTTATGTCTAAGCAGAATCCTTTATCCTTTTCTATTTTTTTTGGCTAGAACCCTCTGCTTTCAATGTATAATAAGGCCACATTATTTACTATTGGTCACGACAATGCAAAACCACATGAATTATAAATACACTAAGAAAAAANTATTTTTTTTGGCTAGAACCCTCTGCTTTCAATGTATAATAAGGCCACATTATTTAGTATTGGTCACGACAATGCAAAACCACATGAATTATAAATACACTAAGAAAAAAGAGAAAACTTTACCATTGCTATATCTTTCTTTTTCAGCCTTTCAGGAGCCTCTTGTATGAAACGTTCCATAAAGAAGAGAACAAACATACCACAGTCATAGTCATTTCTCTGTCGTGGAACCTGTTGGGGAAAATGAGGAGAATAAGACAGCAGAGTTTAAAGCCAAAACCACAAACTAATAAATCTTTTTTTTTTTTAAAAGGGAACAAATCTTTCATTTCATAGAAAGAGGTAACAAATCTTTCATTTCATAGAGTAAACAGCCACAAACTAATAAATCATACAGGAGAAAAGGACAAATAACTTGAATAGATTTTCGTACTCCATTTACAGCTCACAATTCTCTTTTTTTTTTTTTTTTTTTGCTATTGTAGCTCATAATTCTTTACACCCTTCTTGCAAAATCTGAAATCTACCATAATTCAGTTTTCCTAGCTGTCTGCAAATCCTCAGCCTATTCCTCAACAAAACGTTGGAGGAAGTAATTATTGCCATCCTTAACATAGATCACTTTGTAGTTATATAAAACCTAGGCATTGCACAAGAGTTTATAGCTGTGCTAACTCAGTTGCATATGGCTTAAAAATAATTAGACAGACAATTGTTTACAATTTCCAAGATATCAGCCACATAGTCTGTGGTTATAATGTTGCTCCAAAGATCCCAGGTAAGTGGCTCTGAAGTTAAAAGTGATATTCGGGCGATATATCTGTTTGCAGAGAGAACCTTATGGCTTTTGGAACAAATTCAAATGGGATAAACATAAAAAACTATAGAATTGACCATATAACAGTACTCTGGAAAGATACAGCTATGCAAATAACAGTGAAATATCCAACAGTTATTTTTTAATGACATTAATCCTGTACCACAAGGTTAGTACAATTCATATGATCCACTGCATTGAATATGTATAATAGGCATAGCCATAAAACAAAATGATGGTTTGCAAGCATACTTTGACAAGAAAAAAGCATAGGCAAAACTGGAACTCAAATTGAGGCATCCAAGAAAGAGATTTACCTCAATTGTCTTCTCGTCAATCCTACGTGGAAGATTTTTCCAGATTTTGTCTGCGATAGGAGGATCTGAAGGAGCTTCTCCTCTATTCAGACAGTTCCATTCTAGTCTCAAAAAGCTACAAGCACCCTGATGTTAGGACAAACTATAGAGATGGCATCAAACAAAAATAAAATTGTTATAAACGAAAAAGGGAACAGCAGATTAATTGATCATGGGACATGACTATCTCAGCCAAATTATCCAGAACATGCCATAACAAATAATAAAATAAATACTTGCAGTAATTTTGTATTTTACAGAGGAATCAATGTACTAATATCACCACATAGCTAATTTATTAGAAAAATTACTGGCTAATAGTTAACAGAACCCGAGTGGCATACCAACAGCACCTCTAGTTTATACCTGAGCATACCTAGGAAATGTTTTTTTTCCCTTTTCTATGGAATCTTTCATGATGGCTTCTTTGGCAAGTTACAGTAATCTGCTTTTTCCAAATCTGTGATTGTATCTAAAAGCAGTTTTCCAGTTATTTGAATTGGTTTGCCATAATGTTTGCGATTCGGCATCTTCTAGTTGAAAGAATAAACATGCCATGTTATATCAAATAAACAAAAAAATTGTAATGCTACTTGGATTCACTGCTAATCTAATAGCAACACTGGAATTGGTCACCAATTTGGTTGGTAAACAAAATGGTTCACCTGAATTTGGAAAAGCAAAAATGATGACTGGTCAGGAAACAGATGAAGTACCCTAAACAGGGCATCTAAAGTTCATAGGATCAAAAGAATACACCTCTTCTTCTTAAATGGTCGGAGAGAATCATTGAACTTGCAAATCTGCCATCTACCACAAAGGTAGAAACCATTGTTAATGGTACTTGCTGGGCATGGTCTTCTTCAGGTACTCCTGAGCCGCTGCAAATTCTCAATTCTATGCCGTCCTATAATCCCAACTCTCTGCATGCTGATAGAATTAAATGGCTCACTGATCCTAGTGGTCATTATACTGTTCATTCAGCATGGAAATCTTTTTATACCCCTGGTCCATGGTACCCTCAATACATCCCTAGGATGTCTTTTGTTCTCTTGATCGCAATTCATGGGAAGCTTGGAACGAAGGATCGAATCAAGACTAATATGCAAAACATTAATACAGCNTCTCTGCATGCTGATAGAATTAAATGGCTCACTGATCCTAGTGGTCATTATACTGTCCATTCAGCATGGAAATCTTTTTATACCCCTGGTCCATGGTACCCTCAATACATCCCTAGGATGTCTTTTGTTCTTTTGATCACAATTCATGGGAAGCTTGGAACGAAGGATCGAATCAAGACTTATATGCAAAACATTAATACAACATGTGTGTTTTGTTGACTAACAGAGGAAAGCATCAACCATTTGTTTTTTGAATGCCCTTTCACAAGTGAAATATGGAACAAGGTGCTTAGTCATTCTAAGGCCTATTGGTTCCACCCATGTTGGTTACCAGCTATCCACTTAGCCTCCAACCAGTGGAAAGGGAAATCCCTCAAATCCATTGTGCTCAAACTCAGCCTTTTCAGTTCTGTCTATACGATTTGGAGAGAAAAAAATGAGTCTTCAAGAATGACTTCAGGGATACAACTACTGTTTTGAAGTCCATCCTTCATGATATTAGCAGTAAACTTCTCACTGCCAACTTCAAACAATCCACCCAGAATATTGTTTTTCTCCAGCGTTGGAACAATTCTGTGTCTAATGCATGGTCCTCTAATCTTCCATCATGAATGCTCTGAACTGCCATAAGTTCTGTCACAAGGCAGAACTTATTGCAGTTTAGGTGCTTGGTCCCTTCTTTTGTTTTTTTGGTCTGTTTGATAAACATATAGGTTCTTTACATGTACATGTAATTTTGCAATGATGAATATATTTTACTTTCCCAAAAAAAAAAAAAAAAAAAAGAAATTGACAGAATATGCTACACAGTATTGACTTTATTATTCAATTAAGAATATTCACAAATGTTGGTGTAGTTTGAATCTTCAACGTAATCTGCTTCAGGTAACTTCAGCCATAAGCATAGGGCCTGCCTTACCCCAAAAGCAATACTCAAAAAGAGATAAAATGCCGTAAGAGAACATTGTACAAGATCAAGCAAGACTCATCTTCAATTCTCTTCCTAGAAATCTCAAAAAAATGCCAAACTTAAAGAAGCAAATTGAAGGGAAATATAGCCCTATCCGTTCAAGTTATAAAACTACATTATTGTCAATAGAAAGCTCCAACCATCATTTTTCCTTTGTGGAAGTCTGAATATATACTGGCACTTATCCGTTTTATCTCATCTGATCTCCTTGTCTAGTTCCCTTTCTTTTTTCCGCAAGGCACAAAAAATAAAAAAATAAAAAACTCCTGAAATAGATGGAATTCATTATCATTGATTGAAAACTTGAAATTCATAGGAACAGCTGAAATAAATTATCACAATTAACAGGTCATGTTACACAGTTGGCAGGACCTGCCTTCATCTCACCTTTTAATGTTCTCAAAAATTGATTTACTACAGTGAAGCCCTAGTGAATCCAAGTGAAGTAGAATTGGTCCTGCTTCATCTTCCTTGTATGGGATACATATAATCACCAAGCTCCAATGAAGACTGCACGGGAGAAAAGAGAGGGGGAGAAGGAGAAAAGAGGAGGTAAAAAGAGTGAATTTTGCAGTAACTTGAGCCATGTGTAAAGAAATTGAATACAAGGCAGAGAACTAAAGGAACAATCTTCCACAATATTACATGACAAACAGTAGTTAAAAACGCAACACACTCAAGGATGTATTGACCCTACTCACTAGGAGAATCTAAAGGTTATTCTTGCCCAGCCAACCTTTAATAAAATTTAGGGCCAAAAAAGTTCTACTCCCCTGCTTCAGAGTTGAATAAAAGGTGGGCATAACTGAAACCAACTATCATGCCATTTGAAACATTTAGTCGACAGCGTATGGAGCATTCCATCACTTCCATTTGTCTTCTATTTACATGACAAGCTTGGTTTGGTGCAGAGGACAAGACCCTTTAGTCTCAATTAAGACGCCGACAACAATACATGGCTTGAATTTTTTTTCCCTACTTGATACATAAATAGAAATAACAAAATGAGGCTGTCCACTCTATAGTGGTCACAAGTTACCCGNACCTGCCTTCATCTCACCTTTTAATGTTCTCAAAAATTGATTTACTACAGTGAAGCCCTAGTGAATCCAAGTGAAGTAGAATTGGTCCTGCTTCATCTTCCTTGTATGGGATACATATAATCACCAAGCTCCAATGAAGACTGCACGGGAGAAAAGAGAGGGGGAGAAGGAGAAAAGAGGAGGTAAAAAGAGTGAATTTTGCAGTAACTTGAGCCATGTGTAAAGAAATTGAATACAAGGCAGAGAACTAAAGGAACAATCTTCCACAATATTACATGACAAACAGTAGTTAAAAACGCAACACACTCAAGGATGTATTGACCCTACTCACTAGGAGAATCTAAAGGTTATTCTTGCCCAGCCAACCTTTAATAAAATTTAGGGCCAAAAAAGTTCTACTCCCCTGCTTCAGAGTTGAATAAAAGGTGGGCATAACTGAAACCAACTATCATGCCATTTGAAACATTTAGTCGACAGCGTATGGAGCATTACATCACTTCCATTTGTCTTCTATTTACATGACAAGCTTGGTTTGGTGCAGAGGACAAGACCCTTAAGTCTCAATTAAGACGCCGACAACAATACATGGCATGAATTTTTTTTCCCTACTTGATACATAAATAGAAATAACAAAATGAGGCTGTCCACTCTATAGTGGTCACAAGTTACCCGGCACAAGAGCTAAAGCAGCAATGCTTTCCAAACCTGTTAACTATTCAAGGGTTTTCCAACAATAGTCCTTCCCCAGAAAATTCAATTAATTTATGGTGGATAGTGGGATTAGACTGCTCGCAAACTCAAGATTGAAACCTCTTTTCCAATAACTAATAATTAAACAGTGGCAAAATGGACTGAGAGTTGTGGCATTGTGTTGAGCACAGAGATGAAAAAATGAACAAGAAATATAATTATTTCCTTGTGTATAATCTCAATCACCAAAATAACAGGAAAAATTCTGATTAATAGCTTGTGGACTAAACTTTCAGGTCCTTAAACTTGAAGATTATGAACCTGGGTCAACTTACTAAGGTAAAACAATTATCTTCCAGCCTAGGCAAAGAAGAAGAACTGCTCAAACCCTTGCTAAAAAGGGTATCCAACTGGAGCTTGAATAGAAGACTACATTATCAACTTCTAGATTATGTTTTTTTAAAATAAAAGCAGAATATTATAGAAAGGAATCAAGAGTAAGGTACACTATTGAGGACAAGATATCCTCGAAAATGAGTGAAAGCAAAAAACATAGCAAAAAGATGTCAAAAAGGGTAAAAAAACTAAAGTCAAAGTCAGCGTCCAATTCCATTAGAGATCCGACAAAGACAACCTCTAAAACTTCCTGTAACTTGGTCCAAAATGACCATAACAACAAGTCTTTCTCATACTAATTCGGAAAGAAGAAAACGATTATTACAAATTTTAGCATTCCTCTCCATCCAAATGTCATGAACGCATAATTTCATAGTACTTTCAAGGATCAAAATTTCAACATTTCCATTTTATGAGGAGACCGAAACGAATCAGCGATGGAATCAAAATTCTAATATTTCAAAGTGTTTCCTAACGTTTTGCGATGTTTTGTATTGTTTCAATACATTTGCACAATCGTTTTGAAATGTTTTAAGGTATTTCAAGACACTTTGGTACATATCGACTCATGTTTTGGAAAAATAATTCTTAAATTTTTTATTTTTTTATTCTGTTTTTAAAACGGGTCGAAACGCTTTTAAAACACCTCGAAACATTTTTGTTTCCTAAGTTACCGACACAATGCACCAAAATAAAATTTTGATTATTAAGTACTTTAGTTTCTTTTTTCTTTTCAAAACACCAATACTTTATCGGCAACATCTTCTTGATCGTAGAAGGGCAAACCCAAGACTCTCCGATAACTTCTAGATTATGTTTGCATGTAACCAAGTTTTACTTCATTAAGAAAATCTAATTTCCCACTTTGGAGGGTGGAGAAAAAGGACAATTGATGAAACCAAACAGAATTTAATTAATAAGAAGTATGTACTTTCCCTTTTGATTGGGGAAAACCAAAAATTTCTGAAACTTAAAAAATGTCAGTTATAGGTTCTTTTGGTGCAGGAAATAGAATTTTAACTTTTGTAAAATAAGTACGTCAATCTTTCCTCTCCTAGCTTCCTCGTAGACAGCCCAAGATTATGTATTCTTAAACGTGGCTCTAAATATATTAAAAAAGACTTAAAATCAACTTAAAGACTTACTCATCATGTATTGGAAGGAGTATATACGATTTTTCAAATATGTTGACACCTTTCCACCACCTACGGAACTTTTCAAATGAATTTTCCTGGTCACTCCGCTGCAAAAATAAATAATAAATAAAAGCAAGTTAGTAATAACAAAGCTGTAAGATGCAACACAAGGATTAGCATTCACATAACGAGAATCATCACGTCAAGCATACATTTCTGTGAAATATGCTTTGGTTTTTTCCCACCATGGGACAGGCAGTGGGGCGTTTGCATATTAATGGATATGATAGTGTGAAGGTTATTTAAAACTTATTATCTCTTTCCCATTGTCTTCTGACTAGGGGGAAATTATCTCATTGACCTTGTTTTGCTCCCAGAAAGCTAAAACCTTAGAGTCAGGNAGTGTGAAGGTTATTTAAAACTTATTATCTCTTTCCCATTGTCTTCTGACTAGGGGAAAATTATCTCATTGACCTTGTTTTGCTCCCAGAAAGCTAAAACCTTAGAGTCAAGTTAATTTCAATATGAAGCCACAAAAATATACCAGAAACTTTAGATAAATCAAAGCTTCATCTACCCACTATATGTATCCATCCGTACATTTTTGTCAATAACGGAGAGAAAACTTTGTACTAAATGGCACCAAGACAAGGCCAAAATGATACAGATTACGCTATTTGGTGCAATAGTTAACTTCCAAATGCCACTTATCAGAAAAATAAAAAAGTACCAGCGAAAACCAAGATTGTTACCAATTTTACAGCTCAAGTACCTAGGTTTACCAGCTTTAGGATACACGCTCAAGTGAGTTAAAGCATAAGAAGCTAAAACACCAAAAAAGTGTCATAAGCTAGAATCAAAATTTTGTTTGTGGAGGACAAAAACAAAAAACTAGAAAAGATTCCAATGGGAAAAAGAGATACCTTCTTCAATACAGCCTCTTTTAGCTTCCTATAGAAATAAGTGTTGAAAAAATGATAATCACGTCCTATCGTATTTTGGGGAGATGTTGACTGCTGCAGATATCTACCCCAAAGAAACTCACAAATTAGTAAAAATAACAACCTCATCAGAATATTCAAGTCAAAGTTTCCTCCAGCTTGCACCTACAATAGGACTGCAACATGGCAAGCATAGATTATAGATGGAACAGGCACCTCCACGAGAGCTTAAAGGATATAAGATGTGGGAAAAAAAATGTACAAAGAGAAAGGAGGAAAAGAGAAAGAAAAGAGAGATACAGAAGAGGGAAGGTGCATTAAACCATCTTTGATTACATTATAAACTTACCGGATGTAAAAATTCATTATGGTTGATGATAGATAGGCTTCAGGAGCAAGGCATTCCATGTCTGAGTAAAAAATTTCAACTGATTCTGGATCGTCCCTATGTCCAAAAATAAAAGGGAAAAGATCCTAAAATGTGTGAATTAGACCTTTAAAAGGTTGTTGGTCAAACGAAGTTGCAATATGCATCTTATTTGGGCTAAAGACTATGGTTTACCTTGATGGATAGTAGATCTTAGCCTCTTTCAGACTGAAAACAAATGAGCAACAGGCATCACACAATTGCAACCCCCAACCAAATATCGACTTATTGAGATATCAAGCCAAAAAAAAAACTAATCCGGACAAAACTAAAAGGTTTGATGTACCGTTCATCTACTATATCTGCCGGTTCTGTTGCCTCTATTAGCNCAAAAAAAAAAAACTAATCCAGACAAAACTAAAAGGTTTGATGTACCGTTCATCTACTATATCTGCCGGTTCTGTTGCCTCTATTAGCTGAGCTTGAGGTTCCTCTTCATCCACTAGAACAACAGTCTGCCCCTTTTTAGATAGGAAGCTGTATTAGGTGCATTAAACATACAAATATGCATTTTCCAGACATCCCAAAAAATAAAATAAAAATAAAACAAGTAAATCAAATCAAATTTTCCAACTGAATACGCTGCTCAGCTTCGATAGATTCTTGCAACTGCAGCAACCTATCATTGTCCTAATCAACAGTTTATGTTCTAACAAAGCGTACTCTTGAGTTTCTCAACCAGCTGCAGCTGAAGAAGTAACCAAAAGAGCTGCAGCTGAAGAGGTAACCAAAAGAGCTGCAGCTGAAGAATTAACCATTACCATGACCAATACAAAAGTAGAACAGCATATTATTGTCGAGCACTACATTTGACATGAACCGATGATATTTTTTTGCTGTAACACTGATGGAAGACAATTAAGGAACCCATTATAGTGTCTCATTTGTAACAAAAACATCACAAATAACCATCAATTTCTTAGTAGCCAAAGCTTCAAGGATGTCATCCATATTTCAAACGATGTTCGGATTCCAAACTTTACAGCCATTTGGCTTTGTGCCGACTAAACAAAAATGTCTGCACAAGAGCATCCCTGTCCAATGCACACATTTTTCTATGGAGTAATTGCCATCTCTAGTTTTTTGAGCTGTAGTCAAGTTGTATGAAAAAAAATGACGAGCACGTCTGAAAATTTTCATTCGATAACTTCACTTTCAGAGATTGGATTGCTTTCTTTTCTTTTCTTTTTATAATTTCGTAAGTATGAACATGCTTTCTTTTTTCTGTTAAAAAAAACATGCTTTGTTTTTGGAGTCAGTGCATGCTTCTCAATGNGAGATTGGATTGCTTTCTTTTCTTTTCTTTTTATAATTTCGTAAGTATGAACATGCTTTGTTTTTGGAGTCAGTGCATGCTTCTCAACGGAATTTTCTTTCATAGTTTGGGCACATATGGACAGGTTAACAACACTTGGGCACATAAAATTTTGAGAATTGATCTTTAACCCAATTGTAAGGGGGTTATAACCCAATGTAGAAATTAAAAAAAATTATAAATACTAATTTTGTTAGAAGTCTCAAAATTTTGAAAAAGGTTAAAAGAAAACTTGAAACAAAAAGAAAATACCAAAACCATGAAACAATGGCATACTGAGATACAAATNCTTGGGCACATAAAATTTTGAGAATTGATCTTTAACCCAATTGTAAGGGGGTTATAGCCCGATGTAGAAATTAAAAAAAATTATAAATATTAATTTTGTTAGAAGTCTCAAAATTTTGAAAAAGGTTAAAAGAAAACTTGAAACAAAAAGAAAATACCAAAAACCATGAAACAATGGCATACTGAGATACAAATCCAAACAAGTTCATTGAAGATAAGATGAAAGAGAGACTAGCAAATAAAGACACAAACTGAAAATAACTTACATTCACAGACCTCACTCTGTCTGAAGGCTGGACTTGAGGAGCATTTCTCCTACCAAGTGAAGAAAAACAAATCAGGTATATTATGCGTTAATTCAGGCATGCAAATAAAAGAGGCATGCTATTCGCACTCCCTATTTAATCTCTCCAAGTCCATCTTAAATCCTAATGGCCTATATGACAGAATTACCCTTCTGTTATAATTTGTTATCCCCTTCCTCTTTTATAAGACAAAGGCATAACTGACTTCTCCTCACAAGAATCAAAGGAATAATTATACTTCTGTTTGACAAAATAAAGAAGTGGATTGTGATGAGCTAAACAAGAATTGAGAATAGCAGCACCCCTCCCAAATAAAAAACTGGGGACCCAAATGATAATATGGAGATCTTCAAAGGTTCCCTCAAGAAAAAACATCTGTATAAAATCATTAAAACTAGATTGACTTACAAAAACAATTTCTTTGGAAAAAGTAAAGCAACCAATAAGTACATAGTACATACTAAAGTATAAAAGAGAAGATGAAGAAAAAAAAGTGATAACCCAGGATATAAGTTCACCTATTCTTTTCGATCTTGAACATTTTGCTAGCAATCAGTTTGCAAAAATGAGATTGTAATACAGAAATCAACATCTCTAATAGAAAGCTTTAAGAACAAACCTTGCCTTCTGTGGTACTAAACAAAAACTTTCAAGTCAAGTGTTCATTGTTTGAAATGATATATTTATCCAAAATTCATACTCAATATTAAGAAGCTATTACAAATANCTAATAGAAAGCTTTAAGAACAAACCTTGCCTTCTGTGGTACTAAACAAAAACTTTTCAAGTGTTCATTGTTTGAAATGATATATTTATCCAAAATTCATACTCAATATTAAGAAGCTATTACAAATATAAAGCATGCATAACATGAAAAGATATGCAATATGATGATCAGTGACATAAGTGAAACGTATTCATTGACACCCACAATATACATAGTAAATTGCAAGCAAAAGTGATGATATATACACCACAAGTCCATTACTTGCCACAAACACCAAAGACCCATGAAAAAACTTGCACAACCATTTTCAGTGATGAAGATACTACATAGGAAATTCAGAGAAAACAGACACCAAAAGCAAATTTAGAAGAGAAATAATGCATACTTCTTTGATAAAAAGCCAGACAAATTTCCTTCAAAAAGACGAACTGAACAAGTAGATGAACCCGTGTCCTTTTGATCTCCGTTTGAGAGATTCTTTTTATCAGCATCAATGGAAAGATTGCTAGGGCACTTAAAATGTTTATGTCTCAAAGATAACCTATTCTTGTGTCTTCCCCTCGATGCGAACTGCCCTTTATGTCCCACTTTCCGACGGTCACAGGGTCTAACATAAGAAAAATCTTTTTCAAAGGCGTTGACTGTCCTAGTATCCATCTGCTACATGAATACAGGAAAATCAAAGCAGTTATACTGAATAGTTAAAGACTTAAAGCTATATCAGCAAATTAGGGAACAAATATATTCAACTTTAATAGTCACCATACGTTTTCTTTTAACTTCGTGTAAAAATGTAAGGCAAATGCAGACCGTGAAGATGGTAGAGATGGATCCCCTTGTTTGGAGCCATCATATGCCCCTACAAAACAAGCATAGAGAATAAAAAACCGAAAAAATGACATCAAGCATGCTAACTTGCTTAAATTGCATATCTAGATAGTTAAAAGATGGTCACGGAACTGCAAATGCTCAACCCATGCTGTCAATTCTGTTCAATTCCACTTCCTTGCCAAGGAATAATTAAATGCCTCCAAATTTTTACAACCCATTCATTTCAATCCAAACAAAACAGTCACCCTAAGGTCAATATAGAACTTGGACATTAGCATCAATACAAGGCATAACCAGCTCTCCCTCTCTTTATATCAATGCAAGAAGTTAATATGCACACCCATGGATTGTTCAAATAAAGACAGCGTGATTTTTCCTTTATGCTTTCACAAGTAAATGAGATAGTGTACCTCCAAAATACACACCATGCACTGCTCACGAAAACGTCAGACAGTATTTTTGTTTATGCATCATTTGCTAGAGGGAAGATTCCAAAAGTCAAATTTCAAGGAGGAGAGACAAGTAATGTGATTGCCCCCAGAGAGAGAGAGAGAGAGAGAGAGAGAATCCTCCTGGCCCCCCCCAAAACTATCACCTCCAAATTCATTTATCTTCTTTCCGGCAACAAATCAAACAAAAAACACAAATATGAAAGCCAGGCCCAGTGCTCTAAATATATAATATGTCAAGAGACAACAATATTTGTCGGGGTTCAAATCCCATAATTTATTACAAAGACAATTTGTCATACTGTGACTAAGTTTCGAGTATATTCTATGCCTATGATCCTAACAGTGAAGGGGATCAACGGGAAAGATGGCCTACAGAGGAAGAGTCTTGGCACTTTATGTAAGCAGCATTTCTGGCGTGAAGAAAGACCAAGCCCCAGAATACCAATGGTGTCAGTTACTCATAAATCTTGAAAGCCTAGACAAAATTGAGTTTGCTGCTGTTACTAGTACTCAAAAAGGCCACAAAAGAGTGAATATTAAAATAAGAAATGGATTCAAGATACTAGCACAAGTGCACAACCATTAGAATCTCACCGACCAAACTTGGGTTATGAAATTGTGCGGGCTCCTCGCACCCCTCGTCATCATCCTGTCAAGTAAAAATCATGACTAACAACCGTCAAGATCTAAATATGCATCAGTAAAGCATTTATACATCATGAATAGGTTAATATTTGCACAGGAGGAATTCTTTTAGCAAGTCTTACTATTATTCATTGTCCAAATCACAATACTCAAGGTGATTCAAAAGATCAGGAACTAAGAAACTAATCACACAACCTCCAAGAAAACCACTCAGCCCCCACGGCTCTGCAGTTGTATTAGTCTCTCCTTGTATGTCAATTTGTGGTCTCCACTTGTCTCTCTTACATCACATTCCAGAGATCATCCCCCAGTCCGAGAATTTTCACTTTGTCCCCAAAAAAAAATATAGAATGATGCCACATCTCCTTACCCTTGCCCCCAAACCCCAAAGGGTACAAATAGTGGGAGCTGGCACGCACCTTCTTGTCAACTATGAAAACGGGGATAATTATGAAAATAGGATAAAGCGGGGACCATATTGGTTGCTTCATGTCACAGCACAAATCAAATCCAGTAGTACAAGACTTTCACAAAAAAACTGTGCGAGTGAGAACTGTCGTGGCATAAATAGGCCCAGTCACCGAGTCAGAAACCTCTATCAGAACAGTTCCACTTCCACTTCCACAACACAATTGCAATGTGAAGCACACTTATTCATAAACAGACAAATTATAAAGAGCTCTCCAACACCCATAGCCTAAATAGAGCTACGCATATGCAATAAAATATATTAAACTTCACATTACAAGCCCCTGTATAACAAACCCTAGGTCTGTCCTAAACAACTACAAATAGCATAAAATCATGTCCCCAAATCAAAACACTGCATGCAACTTGAAAAATCAATGCAATACATAAAAATCTGTGTATAAATCTGTCTATATCTATGTCTATAAATACAGACAGAGACAGAGAGATTCATAAGCATTCAGAATTGGAAAAGAAATAAAATCAACAATAATCCAACCTTCTCAGCTCGCTGGCGTTGACGGCGCTCTATCTCGTCCTCTTGGCGCTTGATACTGACCCTGAGCTTCTCGCCTTTATCGGCCAATTTCTCACCGACAGATTTAAGATTCTGTCTGTTCCTTTCAATCGTATCGTACAGTTCTTTGTCGCTCAAATGTCTAAACCCGTTCTGTTGTTGTTCGCCGTCCATCGCCACCGATTCCGATTTCTCCGCATCCGCACCGGTGGTTGTAACCACCAGTACCGTCGGAGGCTCCTCGTCGTCGTCTTGATGGTCAGGCAAGAGCTTTTCCCAGTCAAGGTCTAGTTTTTTCCCCTTTCTCTCTCCTTCTTCCATGTATGAAAATGAATGTAGATATATCTATATCTCAGTTACATATCGAATAGAACTCTGATTCTATCGTACGGTCAATGCTCTGCTCTGTGTTCTGCTAGGAACTGCAAGTATGGAGGTGAGAAAAGGAGGTGAGAAAGGGAATGGAAATTGCCAGAGAGCGATGGGTGTGGGGTCCTGGAAGTAATTTAAATAGCCGTGGCCGTAGTGACTTGTGAGGGGTTTTTTTTTGTCTTTTTGCCACATTTTGGAATTATAATTTTTTTTATATTATTGTCTCCGCTATCAAGTTTGTTACATTTATACGGGTTTTTTGTATATTGTACCATAAAAAATTTTAAATTTTTTATGGTATATCCTCATAAATTAAATTTTTCACGTTATAACTGTAATGTATCAAAAATATTTCAATATAACCCTTCTGTTAATTTTCGTTAATTTTTTTTGTCAAAAATCAATCAATTGACACTGACAAAAAAATTAAAGAAAAACTATTAGAATGGTCACATTATAATATTTTTGATACATTATGGGTGTAATGTATAAAATTTAATCTTTAAGAAAAAAAAAAAGAAAAATTAATCTTTAAGAATGAAAAATGGAAAACTTTAAAATCTCGCTNGTTCCTTTCAATCGTATCGTACAGTTCTTTGTCGCTCAAATGTCTAAACCCGTTCTGTTGTTGTTCGCCGTCCATCGCCACCGATTCCGATTTCTCCGCATCCGCACCGGTGGTTGTAACCACCAGTACCGTCGGAGGCTCCTCGTCGTCGTCTTGATGGTCAGGCAAGAGCTTTTCCCAGTCAAGGTCTAGTTTTTTCCCCTTTCTCTCTCCTTCTTCCATGTATGAAAATGAATGTAGATATATCTATATCTCAGTTACATATCGAATAGAACTCTGATTCTATCGTACGGTCAATGCTCTGCTCTGTGTTCTGCTAGGAACTGCAAGTATGGAGGTGAGAAAAGGAGGTGAGAAAGGGAATGGATANGGTTGTAACCACCAGTACCGTCGGAGGCTCCTCGTCGTCGTCTTGATGGTCAGGCAAGAGCTTTTCCCAGTCAAGGTCTAGTTTTTTCCCCTTTCTCTCTCCTTCTTCCATGTATGAAAATGAATGTAGATATATCTATATCTCAGTTACATATCGAATAGAACTCTGATTCTATCGTACGGTCAATGCTCTGCTCTGTGTTCTGCTCGGAACTGCAAGTATGGAGGTGAGAAAAGGAGGTGAGAAAGGGAATGGAAATTGCCAGAGAGCGATGGGTGTGGGGTCCTGGAAGTAATTTAAATAGCCGTGGCCGTAGTGACTTGTGAGGGGTTTTTTTTTGTCTTTTTGCCACATTTTGGAATTATAATTTTTTTTATATTATTGTCTCCGCTATCAAGTTTGTTACATTTATACGGGTTTTTTGTATATTGTACCATAAAAAATTTTAAATTTTTTATGGTATATCCTCATAAATTAAATTTTTCACGTTATAACTGTAATGTATCAAAAATATTTCAATATAACCCTTCTGTTAATTTTCGTTAATTTTTTTTGTCAAAAATCAATCAATTGACACTGACAAAAAAATTAAAGAAAAACTATTAGAATGGTCACATTATAATATTTTTGATACATTATGGGTGTAATGTATAAAATTTAATCTTTAAGAAAGAAAAAAGAAAAATTAATCTTTAAGAATGAAAAATAAAAAATTAATCTTTAAGAATGAAAAATGGAAAACTTTAAAATCTCGCTGGGAGTAAAATACAATACGCCATATTTATATCCTTAACTATGAGATTAGTTTTACATTTTATCCTTCGAACTATAAAAAAAAATTCTCTTTTTTCTGACACATTGATAATTTCTATCCAAAAAGATAATAGATGTTTATATTTGGGATAATAGGAAATAATTTAAGTAATTGAGGGGTCCAATGAAATGGAATTTCTAGTTTGAGGGTAAAAGTGTAACTTACCCACTAAAGAATCGGCATGTTAACCAAGCATACCCGCCCCTTTTTCTCTCAAAAATTGCTAAAATATTTCCTGATAATTAGTAGGAATTATTTGTTTGTATTTTTGAAGGGAATAAAATAGTGAAACTCGAATCCTTGAACATTACTTGCACATTAACTTTATGATTAGGATAAAAACTATTTGACCCCTGAGTTTTGTCTTAATGACACAGACACCCCTCACATTTTATTAATTACAGGACACTCTTTCTCATAAACGGAGTTAACAGAAATTGTGCAATGACACGAATAACCCTCATTTTTTTGAATTATGATATTGTCAGTCAAAACATGCGAAAAATGACACAAACATCCATCTGACTACCAAAATCCTAAAAAATCGAAACCCTTGTACAACCCATCGTTTGCACAGAGAAAGAGAAAAATTGAAACCCTTCACAACCCATCGTTTGCCTATAGCCGCTAACTCTTCTCACCCCAAATCGAAACCTTCCTCTTCCTCCCCAATTCCCCCACAGACTCTCTCATTCCCCAATCCCCACAAAGTCTCATCACCTCTTGACCTCAAAAGCCCTAAATTCCACAATGTATTGGCTCCACCAGAGATCTAACCTTGCAAGTTGAATCGACACCTACCAGCGACATCTATTGGGCGTTGATGCCGAACTCAAACTCAAATCCTTCATTATTCTCGCATCTAACCTCATTGACGACTCTTCTGCACTGTAAGCCCCTTCCTCCTTATTGGTTGTGTTGTTGCACTGTTTGTTTGGGTTTTCTTAAAATCTGTGTTGCTAGAGACGTAAACAATTCTAGTCCACCACTTTGCTCGAATTCTTGCGCTCTCATACTCGTTTCAAGAGTGTCAAGCTGGGTTGTGGCCAATGTCTCTCCACTCACTCTCTCTATCTCAATATATATATATATATATATATAAATACCTATTTTCATTCTATATTAGTTGTGAAGATGTGTTTATGGGTTTTCTTTTCTCTATCTCTACACTTATCCACCAACCCACTCACATACACGTGCTTGTGTCTTAATCAAGTTAGAATTGTTCGATTCTGGGTTGATGAGCTTTCTTCATGTGAATAGATGGGGCTTTATTCATGGGAAAGATGACTATATTATGTTTGTTCTCTGTATTGTTAGATTTTGAGTGTTGTTTATGAGTAATTCCTCTACTTTTACTGCTTGGAATGGTGGGTAGTCACATTTTGAGATGCTTGGGTTTATTTCTTTAGGGTTTTATGTGGGTAGTTAGAAGCTTCTCCAAGTGGGTTAGTTGGACTTTGATTAATCTTCTTTATTAGGATAATAGGAAAATATTTAAATTCTTTTCACTTATTCTAATTTTGTGTTTAGTTGTTTTATTTTATTTGTATTTGCTTCATAAATAAGAAATTTAGGAATGGAAGAAATTAATTTATTTGATGTTGGTTTCATTCTCTAGGGACTAGGGAAGTATAAATTTTCCCTGACCGTGCTTTGTGAAATATTAAGTTCATTAGGTTCAATGGCTGACATTCTCCTCTATTCCAAATGACCATTGAAGATTAAAGCAACTCTAATTGTTGATGATTCTTTGACTTAAGCATTTTTGATTTAATTGATCTACACTGTATCAAGTTTTGGAGAAAAATGGGTGATCTACACTGATTCTTTGACTGAGAGTTCTACTGATTTTTTAGCAAATGGTTCAGAAATGTTGAAAAATGATAGAGTGATTCTGCATCAGGTTTTTCTAGTTAGTCCAGAAATGCAACATTTGTACAGGAGAGACTTTTCACATTTCTTTTCTGGTTTTGTAACAGAATTCTTGTAATTTTGAGATTTAATCAATAAATTTCTTTTTTCTTTAAAAAAAAAATTCATGTTTTGATTCTTGTAATTGGTTGATTCTTTTAATAAAATGTCTTGGTTTTAAAAACATCCCAAAGCTTCATATCAAAGCATCGTAGATGAACTATATAGTAAAACCACAGGAAAATAATGGAGAGAGGGTACTTACACAGGTTTAAATTTTTTCACTCAGTGGGTCTGAAGGATATAATAGTCTTTCTATTATATATTTTTGGAAAAATTTTAATATATAATACTTAATCTTACTATTGAGGGCTAATTTTGAAATTACAAGGGTTTTTTATGGTGATGTCACTCTTTTTTGTCTTCATTATTGACGGCCATGGAACGGAGGGGGTGTTCGTGTAACGAGTTTCAAATGTGAAGGGGTGTCACTATAATTAATAAAATGTGAGGGGGGTGTCTGTGTCATTAAGACAAAACTCAGGGGTCTGAATGATTTTTACCCTTATGATTATAATGATCTATGATTGACATTAGTAATAATCATTTTCGAATGAAAAACTGATCTCTAGATTATTCGACTATGGTAGTAGTTTATGTCCTTGTCACAATTTACGCAGCCGAGCAATGTAATAAACTCCCACTATGAATTCAGATTTTCTTTAATATTTTTTTTCTTCATATTGTTTATTTACTAAATCACACACTTTTTATTAATAAAAAAAAATCACATAAATACAATGAGTATTATTTGAATTTAATCAACAATGAGCATAATATGAATATACGAAAAGTAGTAATTTACCGATGAAAAAAATATATATGAACAGAGATTTCATTCCATATGTATAAGTGTTCAGCGAATTTTCGAACCGTGGGTATGTCAAAGTTTGAATGCCCTACCCGCATTTATTTATTTATTTTATATATGTATATATATTGGAGCAGTTATATTTTTTGATGTGTTTCATATGGTTCAAACCTAAAATAATTGTTATTATATTTGAGCAATAATTATAATGGATTGATATTTGTGCATTTGGCTTTCTTGTGTTTTATGTTAATTTTTATTGTAATTATTTTAGGTTTTAATATTATTGGTTTATTGTATTATTAAATTAGTGCATGTTACTTAATTGAATTATAAAAATGATTCAAAAATTAATAACTACAAAACGTATTCACCCATTCTCCTACTCAACTTCCTACCGGATTAATTTGGACAGAAGTCGAGTAGGAATACTACAATTGATCGGGTAAGGTAGGCCAAAAAAAAATTCTTTCGTAAAATATCGGATAAGAAAATGAAAGACCATATTTCCCACCCCCGTGAGATNTAATATTATTGGTTTATTGTATTATTAAATTAGTGCATGTTACTTAATTGAATTATTAAAATGATTCAAAAATTAATAACTACAAAACGTATTCACCCATTCTCCTACTCGACTTCCTACCCGATTAATTTGGACAGAAGTCGAGTAGGAATACTACAATTGATCAGGTAAGGTAGGCCAAGAAAAAATTCTTTCATAAAATATCGGATAAGAAAATGAAAGACCATATTTCCCACCCCCGTGAGATAGGGTGAACACCATAGTTAAGTTTTTTTCTATACTTTGGAGATCAAAGGTTTAAACAATTTCTAACTAGTAAAAGAATAAACTGGAATATAGAAAGGCAACTGAAATGTATAGTAACAGCAGATCTAGAATTTGTAAATAAAAAAATTATTGCACTTAACATTAGACGAAAAAGAAATTATTGGAGTGATGAGTTACAAGTTTGCAAAGAAATAAACTTAGTAAAATAGAGGCCGACTCAATGTAGAATTATTTTGTTGATCGAGAGATATCTTTTCTGTAGCCTTACCTTAAATGTTTACGAATATGACTCTTAACTGTCGAATTCCGACCATTACTGTAATCATAACCTCTTTTTCAAGACACTCAGGCGTGCATTGAACCATCTCCAACCAACAACTCTTAACACCTCGTTTATCAGGATTGTTAGAGTCTGACTTCCTTAACCGTCTAAATTCTCAGTGACCTTCTATTGACCATTAAATCACCTCCATCTGTCACCCCCAAATTTTACTATTTTGAGGTTTGGAGAACTTGAGAGAATGAAGAATGTATATAGGTTAAGCCCAAGTGCTCAAGTTTGCAAACTAGATGCTACAGTGAGTTAGAAGTAGTGTATCCAATGGCTGGTTCTGTGGTCTCCCAACTGAAAAAAGTAAACCGCTCAGTTACGCTTGCCGCAGAAAATAGAACAAAAATGAAGCTGAAAGCAACGATAATAAAGCTCTGAAGCTGCCAGGTTCCTGCAGGAGAGGAACATCATCTAAGAGTGGATTAAAATAGCAGCATAAATTGTTTATCTTGTCCGCAAAAGGGCTAAGGGGGTGGAAGCAGCAGAAAAACATAGAGAAGATGTAAATTCTCACTGCTCAGCAAGAAAAGAGAACATGTATAAATTGAAGGAACATGTATACACAACTACACCTGCTCATTTTGTCATCCCTGTTACTATCTTTTTTGGTTATATACATCAGATTGATTCCTCGGTATGCTAAAACAGATCTTGTTCTTCAAAACATGATACCGGATTCTCCATTTTGGAAATGCGAATCACAATGTCATTTGCATAAGGGAATTCTGGAGTGCCACCCAAAATCTCTATCAGTGTATTAGACTGACTTGCTTTGTATATATACAAACGAAGGGGTGGGGCAGCAAAAGTGCTCTTGCACTCCATCATCACAGTCAAAACCGGGTGGCCAGCACACAACAGCCTGCTTCTTTCACATGCTGCAAAGGTGAATTCATCAGGTCTAATTTGTCACCAAGAGGAACTATATGTCAAAATTTCAACCCCCGGTGTCTTTCCTTCTCCTGCTCTGTCTGCTCCTTAATTTGGAATTATCAGGATGATCTAAATCAAGGGCCTTTGGCATAAGTGGGCTGCTTGGCTTCAGTTTGTCCATTGAAGCTGAATTTTGAGGAGCATCTTCGTCTGATTTGCAACCTGGGTCTCGAATTTCTGTTGCATCCACAACAGAAGGTCTCTCGTATATTATGGAAGCATCTAGGGAGTAAATGCGAAGAGCAAGGGCAGAGAGAGTCGAGATTTTAGTGGCAGCTGAAGGGCATGACCAGTACCACCAATCAGTTCTCAAGTACTCGCTCTTAATCATGTCCTCGAATATAATTGTTGCTTGAATCATCTGAAAGACAATTAAAGATTCAAACTTCCAACATAACTGCAAGTAATGGAAGATGCCCATTGTAAAGAACAAGAAATTCCATTGTAAGGTCATCATATTTACTGGAAAAAGGTTTTCCCATAAAACAGAGTACCATGTTTGATTCTAGTCTTACATTAAAAACGGCACTTAGAAAAGCAATGACATGTCCACCTTCCAAAAACTTATCTTATTCTAGCAATACACGACGTGCAATTTAAATAATAATTTTTTTATTGAATCTACGAAAATTTGAAAATATAAATTTTCTGTGTAATTAAATTAAATGACAAATTTGGTGTCAAAAAATTAGTCTATATTTTATTTCTAGTTACACCTAATTATTAAAAAAAATTACATATAACATATATTTGATCTTATAATCCAATTTGATAGCTATATACATACAACAATATAATATAGATTCATCTTTGCTCTTCATATAGATATAGAAATAGATATGAAAAAATTTATGCAAATGCACTACTTACAAATGAGTCCAAAAGAATTTAGAAGTCAAATACTACTTGTAAAAAAGTTCAAAAAAACTTGAAAGTCAAATTGTGTATAAAAAATAAAATTATATAAAGGTACAAGGATACAATGGATTTTATAAAAATTAGGCTAGTAATACAAGACGTGTGTTACATGCGAACACATTTAAATAATAATTTCTTGTTAAACTTATAAAAAACATAGATTATATGTGTAATTGAATTGAATAAATAAATTATGTGTCGGAGAATTAATTCTTATTTTAATTTTTACTAAACCTAGTTATTAATATATAAATGTTTTGTAAAGTAATTTGAGTTATTAGAGACCTAATACTATATGATAAGAAGAGTTTTGATAAGACATGGAAAAAAAAATGATGACATTACTTAACATTATTAAATAGGGATGAAATAGAAAATCAAAAATTTTTCACATATGCTGACATTTATAAGTAGTATAGATATTTATAGAATAGATATAGATAAATAGATAGATTAGAAAGACCTTCATAGAGTAAACACTACTACCTACAAATCTTGTGTAAAGACAATACACATGAAAGGATCATGGCCCCATACCCAAAGATCAGCGTTACCCCAAAATACAAGAACCTAATCAACAAGGTAGTCGGCAAGATAAAAAGAAAAAAGCAATCAAGCAACCAGATACTGTCAAAGGGCAAATATCCAATTGGATTGACGTCAACAAAACTGTCAAATAGGACAAGTTATTAGAATGTAGTCATTGCTAATAAGTGAGCAATGTCTTAATTCATCAAAGAACACCAATTTTGGCATGGCTCCACTTAAAATATATGGTGACACTGAATCACAGATTGGAAGATTATTTATCAGTCCAATTTCATGGAAAGACAAGCTGAAATCGAATCTAGCTCACTAAAAGTTTATAGCTAACAATATTGAATCTAAGAAATGAGATACATGAACTGACCTCAAAAATTGACTCTGCGGACTTCACAAATGCACGCCAGGTACATCTTTTCTCTGAGTGTGCCCTTGACGGTCTGAAAGCTTCTTCAGGTAGGGCAGCATCCATATCAAGCAAATCGATCTTAAGCCGCCTTAGAATTTCCGAAACCCTGCCTACTAATGGTCTCGACAAGGATTCGCGAATAATCCAGCATTTACCTACTCCAAGCACTGGACTTTTACTCTTTATTGAAGAGAGTTTATCCCTCTCATTCACATGTTTGGGTTTCAATCTCTCAACTTTCGATCTCCCCTCATGTACACCATTCTCATAATTTCCAGATAAAGTATTGGAAATGCCATCATTGGACACACCCGGCTTGATGTTGCCTCCTGAATTTGCTTGAGGCTGCTCATCTTCCAAACCAGTGAATCTATTGCAGGAACTGACCTCATTTCTCATCATAGGGACCAATGTAGAGGCAGGGTCGCTGAGATAAGGAGATAAGCTTGGCACAAATGATGGAGTCCCATTAGAACCAATGAGTCCTACATCCTTTACCAATTCCCTAAGAGAGCTTTGAGTGACAAACTTTGCTTTGATCTCCTCAAAGTCAAAAGGACATTCAGGGTCATGTTGATAATTTCTAAAACTAGTTCCCTTGTCATGCATTTCACTTCCAGATGCTCTAACAATAGTTTCATCTTTAGTGCATTTGTCAAGCAAGGATCCAGCACTCCTCATCCTTTTCCTCTTTGAGGAATCTTCATTTCCCTGGCTACTCTGAGGGATAGGTGAACCCAGGCTGCACATTTTTTCAGTGTGCCCTTCAAATTCCTCACTTGTGGAGAACATCCGGTGGCATGAGAGGCAATGGTGTCTCGATGGCCATAACAGTTCTAGGCATTCACACCTGTACATTCTTCCCTTGTTAACTACTTTAGCCTTTTGACACAGCTGCTTTGGGATGTCATTGTCCTCCTGCTCCAAGCAAGAACCAAACTTGTTTTCTAGTGTAGTCATTGCCTTCGTCACCAGAAAATCAGAATCTAAAGCTATTCCACTAATTGAGGAATTCAGAGACATTGGATGTTTCTCACTGTGCAAATGATTTTCAGCATGATAGGAGTGTTTGAATTTATTTTTTTGCAACTGCAGTATTGACTCTTTCAGTTCTCTCTCTCTTGCATCATCATCTCTAAGCCATCCAATGAGTTTTTCAATTTCATCATCAGATTGATATGAAGTCCATGAAGAACAAATGGGAATGTTCTGCTCAGAGTCATTCAACTTAGAAACAAGTGATTGTCTTGGATTTGAAGGATCCTGTGTGCCACATGAAAGAGAATTACATGAAGTTGAATTGTTTCCAGGCAGGTCCCCATGTTCCTCCACTTTACTCCGTTGTGCCATCGCACTCCTGTAGACAACTACCTGTGGACAAGAGATTGGCCTGCCAAAAATCCAGTACAGTCGGCCAGCAGAATCCCTCCCCAAAAATTCCTTCCTAACAGATACTCTAAGGAGTTCTGATTCTATTGTGGTAATTCTGTCCTGCAAGCCAGAAATCTCACTTTTAAGGGAGCTCATTTCAAGGTCATAGGCTTGTGATACACTCACATCAGCTTGGATAGGGAGATGATGACCATGAAACAAATGTTCTGAATTCACATGCATAGAAGACATATGCCCCGGCACATAAGTGCCTGTGGTATCAGGTGAGAAATGGCCGGGCATAAGTTGAGCACAAGATAGCATTGAACCATTACAACTGTTTTTCGGCTGTTGCTGTGAGTTAAATTTGCTACAGGCATTTTCTCCACTCAAGTCCTTTTTCTGTTGCTGAGTAGATAAAGGAAGCTCATTTTGCCAACTGGCGCCTTCTGTACCTGAATTTCTATCGGAAAACATATTTCCAGATACTAGGTTGTGATCCTTGTCTGGTGACTGATATTGTAGTTTTCCAACTGTATCATACTCGTTCATGATCTGATTTCTATAATTGGCACAAGGTTTCTGAGAAACACTTATCAGAGAAGGCCAGCATGATTGATTGATACGATCATTTGGTCCATTCCTATGTGGGCCATCCTCTGACTTTCCAAAGTTACTAGAGTAGGATGGTGTATAGCTGATACTAGTGAGCAGCTGCCCTGACGATCTATCAACGTGAGTAAGCACAGAGGCTGATGCATCTGATCGCAATTCTCCACCTCCGTTACACACATTCATCTTCACTTTTGCCAGATTTGCAGCCAAAATTTCTTCTCTGAACATCAGGTTCTTCCATTCTGAGACGAGGGAACGCACTTTCTGTTGCAAATCAGCAGAAAGAGAGGCACACTGATCTAGGTGGTTTCGCACAATCGCAGAGTTCAGTGCCTCATCGCACAAGAATTTCATAAGGAAAATTCTCTGCATCAAGAACAAAAGGAGTTTTAGCTAAATGTAAGTTGGAAAAATTAAAAGAGTGAAGAATACAACTCAGTTAGCTTCCTGTAATTTATTAAATAACAGCACATAACAATTCCCACTCTGAATGCAACCATCTATTAGATCCAACTAAAATACACCAAGCTGAACAGCAACTATCTCGGACCACAAAGGAATCAGTTGGCGGTTGTTAGAAGAATTCCACCTACAGATTTTGGTAATCATATTGTACCATGGTCGGCTCCCCACTCCCCCCCAAAAAAAAAGACAAACCCCCCTAAGAAAAAGAGAAAAAGAGGGAAATCTCAAAAGGGGCTACATGGAGCTGGATCATAAGCCCTTTGCATAAAAGGCAAGTGTGTAGAGAACAGTATGTGACTAACTGGGCAAATATATTCCGAAACAAAACAATGTGAAAACACAGACTACTGAAAATTGCAATAAAAAGCATAGACATGGATTCATTGACGAGGGTGATGGACAAACCTCCTCCACGCTGAACTCCCAATACTCCTTCAACTCCATCATGTCTGCTAATTGGGCCAGCGACTCCAAATGATTATCAGTGAATTCTCTCTTATATCTCTTTCTGCCATACCTGCTTATGATCTGAGTACCACAGAATGTACCACGAGACATAAATTGACCAGTAACGCAAGTAGGGCAATACCAGTTTCCTTCAGGAATTCTTGCAAGTGGAGGATTTAAGCAGTACGTATGGTACTCAGAATCACAAGCATCACAAAGTAGAACATTGTCATCGTCTTTATCCATACCACACACTTTGCAGACCCCTTCATCCCAAGGGGCTTTGGGAAGAGAGCTCTCACTTATACGTTCAAGCATATCATCCATATCTTCTTTCTTTCCCTCATTGCTTAAACAATCAGAAGGGGCATTCTCCACAATTTTTTGGACCAGGGTCAGAACCTGAAGGAGTAAGCATATTCAAGCTCGGACAACAAACAAAGCACTATGTGAGCAAATTCAAAGGACATCTGTTCAATGCGTAACATCAACACAGCTATAATTTTGACAAAATCATATTATGCAACAATAAAGTCTCAGCTATTCCAGATCCAGATAAATTATTGTTTGAACCATGTGATGAAAAAAGTCAAGAAGGCATTCCTTAGATTCAATCCAATCAGCAGAGTTGGCAAAGGAGGTGACCATTCTACAAATTTATATACACAGACAAATCTGGTCATGGAAAAATTATTTTTCCCTTAAAAAGGGCAGATCCTCCATTATGTCCATGAATACAAAATAGAAAGCTAGAAGGCAAAAGAGAATAATACCACATCAAATGATCAATGCCGCATATTAGAGAAATACCAAATCATAGAAAAAAAGTTATTGTGCATCTAAATTAACTTTATGCACACCATAAAAAACTGCAAATTTATGACGATATAAAAGCTTATTGTATATGCAACTATAATGGTGGCCATGATAGAGGGAGCAAGCTGCATTGGATCCCAACCCAAGGAGAACTTGTCACGACCAAAAGGTAAGACTGTTCAAGATAACAGTTAGCATCCAACAAACAATCAAAAGGTAACTCATCAATACAATAGGTAGGCCCAATGTAGTCTGGCCCCACATTCCCCATTCAACCATTTGGGCTGGGACTGCATTTTAAAGTTACTCACACTTTATGTTAACAGTTTATGTTAAAAGTTGATTACAACTTTCCCGAAATGGCCAAATTTACCTAGGAATCGACATAGTGACAGCCCGCAAGAAAATAGTGAAGCAGCTGATATATCTACGCTTGTAAAATGTTCATCAAAGAGTATGGGGTCATCAAGCCAATCTCCACAACCAAGTCAAAGTTTATCCCTCATGCATTTTGTGCTGAAGATAACAGTCAACCCCTCCCCCAACATAAAAGGTACTTGTTGGAAGAGTAGATTGATAAAAGGCCATTAGGCAGTGTGAGAAATCATTTATGTCGCTAACGTCAAAGAGAACAAAAATACAAGTAACACAAATGCATATAGTTATATAATATTCATGTGGTATGACTAGTCAAAATGTTAAACTTAATTCACCACTTTAAAATCCTAACCAATCCTTATAATACTTGAAACTGGAAACTCGAAGCAAATAGGAGTAGTGAACAACTGATTCTGGCATGGCAGTCGTAATGGCAGAATATATAATAAAGGAACAGAAAATGGAATAGGTGAAAACAAACCTCTTTTTCATACAGGACTTCAAAGTTTTGGGATAATGTATCGGCCAAATCAATCAAATCGGATCGATCCCCATATGCAGTGTGTATATTATGCCAAACCTATCAGTAAAGAATAAGAGTTGGAGATCTTAACCTGAATGCAAGAAATTCATAAATTACTTGCTAAAAATCGAACTTATGAAACACTTCAATTGGCCAGAAGTCAAATAGGGGTTCTACTGCGTAGGCCACATACACACATACAAATTATGTCTACTCATCCAAACATCTGCATTATTTGTGGATCAGGTGTCAACCTATTAAAAGTGTTCTAACCTCACATTGACTCAGGATAAACAAAAACTTTGGAATAGCATGTCCCGTGAAACCTGATTGTTAACAATACCTAGATCCACCAAGCATGATGGATTCATATGGTGCTCAACTCTGCCTGGTAAAAGTCAAAAAACGTAACTCTACGATATCTATCTATAAATTGCTCAAAAGTGTTTGGAAGTAGTAGGCAGAGTTAAAAGATTGCATGTGCAACCCACTGCAATGAGCTGACAATATTCTTCTTTTCCGTTGCTTAAAGTTTTTTTTTTTTTTTTTTTGGGGTTGGGGGTATGCTTCTGTGTTGTGACTTGTGAGAACATCATTACACTCCAGATTTAAGATAACCTCGACAGGACTTGCAACCCCCCTTCCAGTAAAAGAACTACATACTGATATTGCAGGAAACTATGCCAGATCTGATCAGAGGATGAAACAACTATGTATCAACAGGTGAAAATTTAAGATAGAAGAGATTGAGAACAAACTATAACTTTAGTAGCATCCTACACATAAAAAACTAAAAAATGGTCATTATTCCTGTTTCCTTTTCGCAATGAAGGCTGGCAAAGGTATGCAGGACACATCTGAGCCAGAGAAATATAACATACCTCCCGAACATCCTCAAGGAAAGCTTCATGTGAACCACCGTAGGCCCCAGCATCCAACCTCATATCAATACTCCTGAAGTCCAAAGGACGAGATACCATTGCAGGATATCCAAGAAGTCCCTCGTCCTCATTATCATTCGGATTCAGAACTGTTCTTCCCAACAGATTACAAAAGACTCTTTCTTCATCTGCTGCAGCAGCACGCCGCAGCACAATACGGCATTGTTTCATGATCAAATCTGATACACTGTTGAGATTCTTCCTTTTTTCTTTCTTCTCTGGTTTGTACAGCAGAGGTTCACGACTGACATCTGCCAGCACCGAGATAACTGCTCTCTGTACAACAATTAATAGTAATAAGGGCAAAGTCCAGCACCTAGATTGATACAAAAACATCATGTCCTTAGATAAAAGCATTCCTTTTAGAGCTATGAAGATCTTTTTCCAATGCAATCATACTTTAAAAACAGCACAATATTTGTGATAATTAGGTAACAGTT